TTTGTTAACCAGGCTTTAACCTGGGTTGCATGAAGCAGGGTGATTGAGATTGGAGCCACAAGCCTAGCTCTTCTCTTTGCTGCCACCAAAAGCAAGGACCAACTGTTTGGGGCCTTGGTTTCTTTCTCCAGGTTAACTTCTGGACAGTTGCCAGGAAAAGTATTGGCTTTATCGATGTGGCACAGCAGGGCTGATGCATGGAGACTGAACTCAGCACAGTCTGTATTTGGAGCCCTCGAATTGCCCCTGTGTGCTGCTGTTCCAGCTGCTGCTCAGTCCTTATTTGTCCCTGATGGTGTCCTCCTGCATTCTCACCAGAGCTTCACAGTGACTTCCATAAGGAGGGAAAGCAGGACTAAATAGACTCATTATGTAGGTGAGAAAATTGAAACCACATTGTCACACAGAGGATCTGGGGCTGGAACTTGATGAATAATGTGGACCCGATTTTTCAGTTATGGGCCTTAGAGCCAGGTTCGTGTGAAGGGGACCTATGTTCACGTGGTAAATACTCAAGTGTGTAGCAGGAGCCAGGAGCCAGGCACAGGGGCAGGTGCCGGGGATACAGAGCACTCAGAGGCCCTGGCCTTGCTCATCAGCTAGTGAGGGACAAAGACGAGTAGGCAGGGATTCGAGACAGTGTGAGGTGTCCTCACTGAGGATGTCAGTTGCTAATGGAACACACTGGGGGGGACCTCTGACCTGGCCTTGAAGGTTAGGGAAGGCTTCTGGGTGTAAGTGACATTTAACTTGAGATTCAAATGGTACCAGCTCAAAAAAGGATATTTCAGGAGAAGGAGCAGTGTATGCCCAGGCCTGGAGGCAAAAGGAACTGACCAAGCTCAGTGTGGCCAGGGCCTGGGGAGAAGAGCTTGGAGGAGAAAACAGGCGTTAATTTCTGTAGAGTCCTACAGGCTGTGGTAAGGACTTGGAGTGATTTTTTTGGTTTGTTTGTTTTTTTAGAAAAATCACTCAGCAGCATTCAGAGGAGGGGCGGGAGGGAGGGCTGAACCTAAGGAGAACATTTTGTTCAGTGGGAGCTACTCCTTCTGTGAACCCATCAGGAATCCCTGTGGCCAAAACTCGTCCCTCCAAGTTTTTGCACTGAAGTTGTCCCCATGCTGACCGCCAGCTGTGGGCCAGTGATTCTTTGATGTTAAGCAGAGAATGAGGGTCCAGAGCCAGACAGAAGACTCTTTTTTTTTTTTTAAGATAGAGGGGAAGGGAGGGAGAAAGAGAGGGACAGAAACATCAGTGTGCGGTCGCCCCTCACATGCCACCCACTGGGGACTCCACCTGCAACGGGGGCATGTGCCCTAACTTGGAATCAAACCAGAGACCCCTTCATTTGCAGGCCAGCGCTCAATCCACTGAGCCATACAAGCCAGGGCCCAGACAGAAGACTTTTGTTCTGCTTCCTCAGTTTGAGAAATCCATGTGGAGGGGAGAATTAAATGAGATATAAGCATTGGGGTGGCTTATTCTGACAAAGCCATTAGTAAATGCCAGACCCACAAAACACAAGCTTGGTGGCAGACACCTCCCTGAGACTTGAACTCCTCGTTTGGAAAACACTGATAACAAAATACCTCCCTAGATCTTGTGAGGAGTCTACGAGATGATATATGTAAAGTGCCAGGCACATAGGGGGTACCCAGTAAATATTCATTCTCTTTTTTTTCCTGCCTTGCTTAATGCTGTTTCATCTCAGAGAAAAAGCCAGAAATCTTATAGCTCTTACAAAGCCTCATACGGGCCTGGCAAGGTAGCTCAGTTGGTTAGAGCATTGTCCCAATAAGACAAAGTTGTGGGTTCGATCACTGGTCGGGGCACATACAAAAATCAACCAATGACCCTGGCTGGTGTGGCTAAGTGGATTGAATGCCAGCCTGCAAACTGAAAGGTTGCTGGTTTGATTCCCAGCCAGGGCACATGCCTGGGTTGCCGGCCAGGTCCCTGGTCAGGGGTGCACGAGAGGCAACCACACATTGATATTTCTCTCTCACTTTCTCCCTCCCTTCCCCCTCTCTAAAAATAAATACAATCTTTAAAAAAAAATCCACCAATGAATGCATACATTAATGAAACGACAGATATTTTTCTCTCTCTGTCTCTCCCTCCCTCCCTATTCCTCTCTCTCTCAAATCAATCAATTAAAAAAAAACAAGCCTAATGCAGTCCGGTCTATTTCCTTTCCGACCTGCTCTACCCTGTCCTCCTCCTGGCACACTCTGACGGTTCTGCACTGGCCTTCTGGCTGTTTCTTGACCGGCAGACACACCCTCACCTCAGGAACCTCTGGTATCTGCATGGCTTGTTTCCTCACCCCTGTCACGTTTTTGTTCAAATGCCATCTTCTCTGCGAGGTCTACCCTAAACAGTCTCTTTGAAACTCCAACTCCCTCCCCACAACCCTTATGATTAATTTCCTTCCCTGCTTTGTTTTCCTCTATGACCCTTTTCATCTTCTAACAGGTGACATGATTCATTTATTTAGTGTGATTTTTTAAATTTATTTTTTATTACTGAGTTTGAACATTGTCTCCTTCAACTAGCATGTAAGCTCCACAAAAGACCAGAAATTTATTTCTGTCATATTTATAGCCGTATCTTTAGTGCTGAGAACAGTGCCAGGCACAAAAGGCTCTCAATAAATGTTTGTTGAATGGATGAAATGTTCAATTAGCTCCCGTGATACACAGCACCTAGAATATTGGGAGTTGGGGGAGCACCTGGTACTGAAAAGTCTCAATAGCCACCTGTGGGCTCCCTGCCATCTGATGGGGTGTGACTCCTGGCTACTCAATTAGGAGTCAAGGGTCCCAGCCCTTCACTCCTTTGTCTGTAAAAGGAGGATACTGCCCTTTGTCTCACTAACAGTTTATTTTTAGGAAAAACTTTTAACCCTTAGAAGCTTTTACACAGAAGCACAGCTTTGCTTCTGGTTCTCTGTGAGGGTGTGGAAACCAGCATTTCCCTCTTAGCAGCCCTGCCAGCTACCACTGCGGGACAAGTGTTTTTTCTCTTTTGTTCTCTTCCTGTCCCCTCATTGAACTTCAAAACAACCTCTCACTGGACCATATGGCAGTGTAATGCCTCATTGGGGACATGGCTCCAGGAATGTGGCTTGAATCTATTTCCTTCCCAGACTTTGAGATCTAAGGAAGTTACTGTGCATGAAAGAAAGCAACTGTACATGAAAGAATTGAGATAGCTGTCCCCTGGTGAAGTCGTGTGTTTGGATTGGGTCCATTCATTCGTTTACTTACTCACTTGTTTATTCATCCAGAGACTCACAGTCAAATGGGAGAGACTAAAGGCAGATAAATAATTACATCAGTGGAGTTATCTAATGGAGGAAAAAGTTTTTGTAAAGTCAAGTTTCTGCTACAAAAATATTATATCACAGCCAACAAACTTTAGTGGCTTTCAACAACAAATATTTATTTCTTGCTTCCATATCTGCAGGCCAGCAGGGGTGACCTGCTTCAGGTGGGTCAGGTTGTGGCCAGTCCTTATATCCCTCTTTCTGGGGCCAGACTGAAGAGGCAGTGGCTACCTGGGCAAGCTCTCCTGTGGCACATGCAGCAGCATAAGAAGCCAAGCCAAACCATGCAGGGCACATCTACAGCCTGTGCTTACACCACACTTGTTACATTGCATTGGCTAAAATAAGTCACAGGCCAAACCCAACGTGAGGAAGGTAGGGATGAATACTCTGCTCACTCTAGCGGCAACGTGGTTGCATAGTTCTCTTTCAGGTAGGGGATGAAGAGTTAGGAGCAATAAGAAAATCACCTACATCATTTAACTCTGGCTATGGAAGGTAGGGGAGGCTCCTTGGGGGTGGAGACTTTCATCTTGAAAGCTGAGTAGTTTTCAAGATGAACAAGCAGACAAATACATGCAAAATGTCACAAAAGAGAATAAAGTACTGTCTTCATATTTATTGGAGTAGTCTCTGTGGGCATTTTGTAAAGAGATACAGGAAAATAAAACAAAGGTCTTCAGAGTACCTGTCCATGAAGGACAAACTTTGTGGGGGAGATAGGAAACATAATCCAAAGAGAAAAGGAAAATACACATGTACAACCAGGTACACTCTTACTCAGTTGGATGAATTCACTCAGTGAGGCTGCTTTACTAAACTCTTGGGTTTTAGTCTCTATTGTATATGCAGCAGTGCACTTATGAAAAGGGCCCCGAACCTGGAGCTGAGGGTCTCTGAGTCCTGCCCGGCAGTGGCATTCTTCAGGTCTCCACTTCTCACTGCACATGGGTTTAAGATGCCTCAAAGAAAACAGGGTTCTTGCCCATTGTCCCCATTTAAAATGCTCACTTTGGAGGATGGGGTGTTTTGAAATTCTGCCTCTTTCTTTTCCCTAGTTTATGTACACATGCCAGTAAGTATTCTTTCTCCTCAGATATGAAGGGAGACAAGCTTGGTGAGTTGCTCTAGGCCCAGCAAAGGTTAGAGGTGGGACTAGGGGAAGAATAACAATTCCCACTGTTTTTTGCAAACTATGTCTACCTGGTATTAGCTTTCCTGTCATTACAGAGGACAGGTATAATCCACTGTGACATTTGTACTCATGAAGTGAGTGTTGGTGAATTTTTATTTGTAATTTCTTACCCATAGTCACTTGACAACTTGAATCACATCTCCCTGGCCTTGCTGACTTTTACCGTGACTTTTTAGCCCAGTGTCCCATGAGTTTGAGAACAAGCTTCGTTCTGAAAACATGCCTTTCCTCAGTGAATTGTTAAACACTGAAAGGCATGTGTGCGTGCTCTCCATTTTGGCGGTCTGGAATTGAGTTGAAGCGTGTTTCACGACCCACTTGCCATTTGCTCAAGAAGCCAGCAGAACTGGTTTCCTGGTCTCAGAGACCATCTCACATGGTCTGTTTTCCTCCCAGGCATGTTTTAAATCTTGTAATAAAGAGCAATGCTTATAGGAATTACCTCTCACTGCTGTCTACTGTCTCACATTTCTCCAGGTAGGTGATGCTCAGATGCTGCTCACCTCCCTTGAGTTGGTGACGAGGACCAAAGGAGAATCAACCGTGTCTAAGACTAGTCCAGAGAAGGCGTGTGAGTGGAAATGCAGCCGTAGGAACAAGTGACCTGGTTGGCAAGGAATGCAGTTTCCTCCTCAGAGCCTCTTCTACACGTTGCCCTGCAGACCACTCCTGCCTCATGGGAAAGGCCGCTTAGGAGTTTGCAATCGGCCACCTAAAACTTTTGCTGAGCCATAACAAGACTTTTGCTGCAGAACTGAACAAGATATTATCTCATTTCACTTTTGCATCTTTTAATCATCCGGGCTACAGTCAGGGTTGTTTAGCTTTGAGATCCTCAAGCCAGATTTGTTACTGTTATTTTTGCATATGCCTTTCAAAATGATCGACTTAAGCTTCCTGACGGAGGAGGAGCAAGAGACCATCATGGAGGTTCTGCAGCGGGATGCGGCCCTGAAGAGAGTTGAAGAAGAGAGAGTCAGGTATGGGCCTGGAGGTCCCTGGGTGTGGGGGTGGGAGGGCCAGTCTGTAAGGAGATGAGACATGTTTTTTTTTTTTTTCTCAACCATAAGTGGTAGTTCTGACTTGGAGCCTGAATTTATGGGTTCCAATTTTAGGTTTACTTCCTGGATAGGACTTTTTCCTCCTTGGTGTCTCTTAATTTATCCCATAGGACTTCTGCCAGAAAAGATTAAAAACCTAACTAAAGTCCTTCAACTTATTAAACACTGAATTAAAAATGAAACATATGTATACATATATATAAACACCTACATCTACATCTACATATATGGATGTGTGTGTATGTTTATATCCATATTTTTGTAGAAAACACTTTCTTAAACTGAATTATGGACCAAATTAAGGAGATTTTAAACTTGCAAATTTTTAAAAGAAAATAAATGGGGAGATAGCTCATATTCCTGCATACTTTCAGAAAGGTTTGGTTTCAACAGCAATTAAAGTTGGCTCTGCCAGAGCCGGTTTTCCGTTTGTGTCCCACCAGAAGGAGTGGCAGCTCTGACACACTGTCCTTGTTGGGAGGAGCCCAAGTGTTCCACGTCCACATTTCTGCTGCTTTCCCTCACCCATGTGGTAGGAGGAGCATGACATCAGGAGGGTGAAGGAGCGGGCTTGCCTCTGGGCCCTGCCATCTGTTGCCTATGTGATCTCGGGCTTTGGAGGCAGCAAAAGGCTTCCTCAGTATAAGGCAGTATTACCTGCATGATCCCACCCCAGGAGTTATCCTAAAGGAACACATCCTCTCAGAAGACGAGATGGAGAAAAAGAACCATGTTCTTATTTTCTGGCACACAGAACCAGGAATAATGGATTTATTTGCACTGTTTACCGTATTTTGACCCTAACTGAACACAGATGCTTTACAAATGAACGTGCTGAAATTCACTTCAGGCAGTCCAGAGTGTCTGATTATGGCTTCTACTACTATTTTGTACATAGGCAGTGCTTAACAAGTTGCAAAGGGCTTACACACCCATTATTTCTTCTGAGCTCACAACACTCTTATGCCTTTAGGGGGATGTAGGAGGATATAATTTCACTCACTCTGATATGTGGGGAAATTGACTTTGAGACAGGTCAGGTGACTTGCCCAAGCTCATACAATTGGTCATTTCAGAAGTGAGAATCAAATCCTGGCCTCAGGTACTCTTCACTAAGTCCACCTTCTCCCCCTGAAAAAGCAATAGCAGACAGGCCACCCTGGGACATGGCTGTGGGAAAGGGGGTGGCTGTCTTGGTGTGAGGTAGCACACTGAGCTGTGACAGTGACAGGGGGTCACTGTAGGTAGTGGAGATCATGAGAATGGGGATCTTGTCATGCTCCTCCCCCCAGGTCACCTGCAGTGTTCCAGGCACCTGGACAGGGCACTGCTCTCCACGCTCAGCAGGTGAGGTGCCTTGAGCAGTTTCCCCAGAAGGAACAGAGGATTTACACTAATCAGCCATCGGAGCCTGTTGGTAGCATTAAGGCTTTACCCATTCACAGTTTCTGAAGCTCTTTCATGAATGTTATTCTCTTATGCTCCAGGCAGGACTGTTACACCCATTTTAGAAGTAAGGGCGGAGGCAACACAGATAACAATATTAGTTGATTTTTTTTTAATTTTAAAAATTGAATTAATGGGGTGACATTGGTTAATTAAATTATATAGGTCTGAGGTGTACAGTTCTCTAATAGATCACCTGTTTATTGGAGTGCATGTGAACCACCCCAAGTCAAATCTCCTTCTATCACCATATTAGTTGATTCTTAAAGCACACTGGGAATTGGGGATTCTATTAGCCTCTCAGAAGACGGGATGGAGGAAGCAGTGGGTCCTCTTCCTACTTCAGGAAGATGGGGTTGTGAATACTGGTTTGCTGAGAGTTCCTTCAGTTCCTTCCACTTCCATGCTGTTACATGTGGTCTGCAATTCTGCCTTCTCTACCAAGCCACCTTGTGACAGAGATTTGTTCTCCCCTACCTTCTGTATTTTCTTGGCCCCTGGAATTCCGGGCTGCTGAGTCAGCCCTGGCCAGAGAGGTTCAGTGGTTGGAGCGTCATCCAGAAACTGAAACATTGCAGGTTTGATTCCCAATCAGGGAGCATACCTGGGTTGCAGGGGTGCCTGTGACCCCCAATTCCAGCATGAATCCCCGGTCTGGGTGCATACAGAGGCAACCCGCTGATGCTTCTTTCACATCTATGTTCCTCCCTCCCCTTCCTCTCTCTCTCTCTAAAAAAGCAATTGAAAATGTTCTCAGGTGAGGATTAAAAAAAATGCAGAGTTCCTCCTGGGCCTTGTAAGGGGAGTGAGTGTGGAGATTGTGGCACCAGTTAGTCTGTGGCTGCTGCAGAAGTGCTGAGTCCCTCTGCAGTGGTGAGTTTGCAGACTCTCTTTTGGTCCTCTGTATCTGATGGTGCCCCAGCAGCTGCTACTGGTGCTGCCCTTGATTTTTGCTTTTTAACCTGATAGGAAGAAGGCTTGAGGTGGTGAAAAATATGGTATGAGTTAAGCCCTGTCTACCACCACCATTCTGGGGGACCTTTTAGTTAGGTCCCAACATCCCATGTTGGCATGGCCACAGGCAAGTCCAGGAGCCTGGACCTGGGGAGAAGGGAAGGTGTGCAGGGGGAGCAGATAGGCACAAGGCCCATAGCCTGTGGGCATGGGAAGGGGCCCAGCCCACTGCCCGCTTCACACAAGAGGAATCATAGTCTGATCTCCTCTTTGCTTTACGTCTGAAAGGACTTGAGGGGATGGTCATGAGGTTGTTCTGTGCCTGGGCTGGTGGGACCAGAACTAGGTCTCTGGTTTCTGGAAATTCTGTTCAGTGGGCTTCTGCTTTCCAGTCCCCTGGCCATCCTCCAGCTCTTTGTTTTTGGCTCTTCCATCAGAGTTACAGCTTGGCAGTTCTGGAAAGATTTTTTTGGTCTACCAAGTCACTTTATAGATAAAGAAGGTAAAGCCCAGAGAGGGGGAGTGACTTGCCCAGGGTCACACAGCTAGTCAGTGCCAAAGCCATAATGAGAAAAGTTTTTGGTCCAGTGCTGGCCCCTCTGCTCCATACAGTTCATTGATAGCATTCTGTCAGAAGAACAGTAAGGGTTTCACCTTGACACAAGGGAAGAACTTCCCTGCACAGACCTTGGAGTCAAAACTGACATAAATCCTATCCTCACCATTGGTCAACTGTGGTTTGTTAGTCAAGTTACTTAACTTTTCTGAGCCTCAACTCAGACTGGGAATAACCATAGGACCAAAGTTAAAGGATTAAAATCAGGAGTAAGTAAAATAATTCTTACTCTTCTTAGCTCATAATAGGTGATGAATATGTTTTAAGTCCCTTTCTGCCACTCCACCTATGCCTCTAAGTAGGACAGAAGTATCTGGTTGGTAGTCTGATTTCTTATGAAATTATTGCAAAAAACTCTCAATTATGTAATGCAGTGAAATTTAAGTGAGTACCTATTAAGTATGGGGACCTCCTCTGCACAATGGTATGAAAGTAATTCTAGGATGATTGAATCATGGTTCTAGTCATCGGGGAATTTGCCATGCAATGGCCTTTATATATTTAATGGATTATCAATTGCAAATTTAAAATCTTAACCTTTTGTTTTACTAAACATGATTTTATAATGCCCCAGTCATCCTTATAGTTGGTATGTGGCTTTAGAAATTAAATTATATTATTATAATGTTAGTTTAAGTAAAACATTAGAAAATCAAACCTGCCACTAAAATTGAGACTGTTCTTCCAAAAGCTAGTTTGTTATGGACTTTGGAGTATAACCCTCCTATGGCCATGATGTGCTCATCAAAACCGGATATGCCTCAGAATCCTTTTAGGTATGGTTGTGGATGAAATTTGGCATTCCAACAGAAATCTATTTGCCGCGTCTGATGTATCCAGTGCTTTGAATTGCTCACATCCAAGCTCATCTGAGACACTTTAGAGATGATTTAGTCTATGTGTTACCTCCCATCCTGACTTCATGGATGAGAAAAGTGAATGCCATACAGAGGAAGTGTTCAGTTTCCAAATCACTCAACCTGTAAACGGTACAACATGGACTTAAACCCAAGGGAATACCCATGGTAGTGTCTCTGGGGTACAGATGGAAGATAACAGCTCCAGAACTCTGTTGCCATCACAGCTGTCTGTCATGCTGCCCCTCTGCCTGTAGCCACGAGTGCTGAGCCCGGTTATCACTGTGCATCTCCACTCTGCTTGCTGCCCTAACAACCAGCTGGGGACATTCACAACCCAGCAGTAAAGCAGACATCAGGATAGAATCTTTTTCTCTCTTCCCCACCCCCTCTGCCCTCTTATTTTTTAAGAGGCACCATCATACATATACATATGTAATTTTAGTCTTTCATGGTTTGAAAATGACATACTGGAGAGGTGGTGTTTCCTGTGCTTCGCATCACACTGCCAGCAGGAAATCGCTGCTCATGTGTGTCTGCACACCGCCAGCGCCACGTCCCCCACCCCTGCACACACAACCACATCCATGGCGATGGGCGTTCTCATAACAGATACGATCTCAACCGCGACCACATCTTAGGATTCTCAGCAGCATCCTCAAGACCTAGTTTCTTTTAAATGAAGGCAGCTGTCATTGAAGAACTGCTTTCCAGGACCTCAGGTGGTGTTTTCTGTCCAAGTACAGGGGACAGGGAGCAACATTTGTCGAGGACCTATGTTGTACACAGAGCTTCACTTACATTTTCCCCTTTCATCCGCATACCAGTGGAGCTGAGCCACTCAACAATGAGGAAGTCCAGTGGAAGAGGCTGAGTGCCCTGATAGATTGAAGCCTTGCTTATCAAACTAGGAAGGCTGTGCTTCCCACACTCTGTGCTGTGTCTCAGCGGATTGTGGGGTCTGTGCTGTATCCATGATGCAAAGGACACATGTTGCCTCTCACTTTCCATTGTAAGGATCATTTGCAGTTTATTTAATTTTCACATGCGTTGGTTTTCAGATTCTCTATCAAAGACTGAATTCCTTTGTAGAAAGAGTGAAGTGCAATAGCCATCTTAGAAATGAAAATCATGTTTGGCTCTCCGAGGCAGGTTGGGGTAGTAGAAAGAGCAGTGGCCAGGAGTCAAGCTGGCTTCCTCTCCCAGTTCTGTGTGACCGTGGGCAAACTTCTTAACTTTTCTGGGCCTCACTTGTTTAATCTATAAAGTGAGGCCATTTGTATCTAAAGTCCTTCCTAGTTCTCACACTCAAAATAAGCATCTAAGCGTACTTTGAAGTCACATATCTCACCATCTATACTGAGGGGTATACTGCAGAGTTTAAAAACGAGAGGCTGGGAAATGGACCAATCAGCCTCTCTGGCCAGCCTGCTGATTCTTATTATTCACAATTGACTAGATACTATCAGCCATGTCCTGCCTATGATGTTAGGCCTTTGCTTAATCATGAGGAATAGCTGGGAGCTGGGGTGTGCTTTGTAATTACAAGGAGGAGAAGTAGGTAGGCTGAGGACAGGTGCTGAGGCCAGGCTGGAGGGCTTCACTGCTCTTCTGGCTTCCCTGTGAAAGTGCTCACAGTCTCTGCACCACAGAAGTTGACATTGGCAGTTAGGGCTGTATATTTTTTATGTACAATTCCAACCATAGGCCTGGTATGTGATAGGGGATTAATGAATTAGTGAATGAACAAATGAACAGATATCTTTAACATACAGAGGAGGCAAAGTGGGCCATCCTTTGCAGTTGACTAAGTTCTTTGTACATCTGGTGAAGTTGCATGGACTAAATGAGATGCTACATGATGTAAAGTGCCAAACATGGAGCTCAGTATAAAGCAATGCTTTGTGTGCATGTGTGCACAACCAGCACGTTCGGCCTGGAGGGCAGCAGGACAGTGTTCTCTCTGCAGTGAGTGGCCTTCTGCCTTCGCTTCTGCCCACCAGCCCAAGGGGCTTTGTTAAGCATCTTCTCTTCCCTCAGCTCTTTACTAAGCACAACGTGCATGTGGGGAGAGGATGGTACGGTGTAAACAGTGAGTCCCAGAAAACTTACACTTTTCCCACTTCAACTAAATGATACAATGATCAGAAATCAAATGCTGATTTGGTTGGTTAGACTTCAGGAAAAATGAGATACGACATGGGCTGATAGAGAAGATTTTAACAGCACTTCCTAGGCAGTGTTGTTTTTTTTTTTAATGATTTACATCTTTACAAAACTTGGACTTTGATGTCACACATTAATTCATCTGTAAAATAGTTCAAATAACTGAGATAGAAATAGAAATTGACTAAATGTAGGTTATCATGTTAAGATATATATAAATAGCATGTATTGAATTTGAGAGAGTTTCCTATTCTTTTGCCACTTTAAAAGAAATGAGCTGGTGACCCAACCTTAGTTCCCTCCTCTGATGGCTCCCGGCTTTTCCAGGTGCCACACGTCTCAGTGAGCCTGCATCCCTTTGTGCACTGAACGCTTAGCAGGAGCAGGGGCATCCAGCCCATCTCTCAGGCAGGAGAGATTGAGAATGGCATGCAGACCCATACAAATGCCTTTTAGTTGAACAACAAAAATAAGTAAATAAATCTCATGTGGAGAATTTGAGCTGTTGTGCTATGAGGGTTTGCAGTGTCTTTCAAACAGATGATGACAGTTGCCATATTTTATCACATTTTTTCCTATTCCACTGAGAGATGATATCCTGCCCCATCATGAGAAGGCACTGCCATTGTGATAGTGTGGTTCCCTGACCCCTGGCAGTGACAGGATCTCTCTTATCGCTTGCCTGACTCAGACGGGTGGCTGCTGAGCACTTATTTATTCACTGATTCAGTCAGTCAACAAAGAGTCTTAGGGTACCAGCTCTGTGCCAGGCTGTGTGCTAGGTGCTGGTATTGTACAGGTGGTTGGGATGTGGTCCTCACCTTCGAGGAGTTCGCTGAGTCAGCAGCCTAGTGGGTGAGACAGGTGTGCACACAGAGCACTGGAGCCCTTCATGCTGGGCAGAGAAGGGAGGGAGTGATATCTATAGAGTATTCATACTTACTGACCTTTTATTGAGGTTCAGGCACTGTTAGGTACTTTCTGAGAAATGCTTCATTGAATCATCCCTGAAGTCCTGCAGAGGAGGTCTTACTGTCCCCTAGCTTTAAAACAAGGAGACTGACACTTGGTGGGGTCCAGTAACCTGCCAGAGGTCTCATCCAGGAAGGGTCAGGACTAGGATTTGTACCTAATTTGTGGGAGACTCCAAAGTCCATAGTCTTTCTGCTGCACCCTCCTGCTTCTAAAGTTTATAGGGATTGTGAAGGAGTAGTATGGGCAACAGTGAGAAGTCTGGTATGTTGGCAAGTGGGAGCATGGGGGTTAAATGCTGGAAAATGAATCCAAATAGGTAGCCTTAAGTAGTCAGGGGCCTCATGTGATACCTTCACTCCACAAGCACTGAATAAAATCCCTATTGTTTTTCACACAACAAGCAAAGAGGTGCTAAGTACAGACCCTGACCATAGGGGCTCACTCTTTAATAGGGAAAGCTGAAGGACTTATCTCTTCTGGACTTAAACCCAAAGTTGGTGTTTTAGGAAGCAAAAGGCAAAAACTCCATTGGCAGCCCCAGGGTAGTTTGCTCTACTGAAGACCTAGGCAGTGGAAAACCATTAGAAACGTTTACTAAAAACCATAACCTGTCTGGTGATGTAGAAGCGTGAAGTGATAATACTGTTCCTGTCAGGATTTAGTGATGGGCAGTCATGGCAGTGTGTCCAAGGGTGATGATGGGGCATGTTTGGGGTAGGGTCACTTCCTCCTGGGGGGGTTGGGAGAGTGGGGGAAGTCCCGACAGAGTGTTGAACTCCAGGTGGGAAGACGCTCTCCAAGCACACCTGGGAGAGACTCAGGGTAACTATGTCTCCTGTTCCTCCCGCTACCAGCCGTCATGCCCAGCCCTGCTGCCACCCTGGCATGGCCACTAGACACACTCTCTGACTAAAGCTTAGCTTCTCTACTTTGGGAAGCATGCATATGTATTGAATAACAGTCATAAAACCTTCTTGGATTTGTGTAGTGCCTTATCTTCTAAGAGCTCAAAGTCTCCTTAAGGCTTTTATTCTACTTTATTCTTAGTGCATCCCTATGAATAAGAAAAGGTAGATTTTGTGATTCTCATTTTATTGAGATGGATAGAGAGATGCAAAGGTTAAAAGACTTGTGAAGAAGAACATAATTTTTCTAGCCAGGGTAAATTAGGAGTGTCTCAGAGGGCAGTACTTGGGTGGTTAATTAAGTTTTAGCTTTTCAGAGAGCATGAATGATTGCAGAACCCTTCAAAGCAGTATCTGCATAAAAGGAATTTGCCTCTGCCCCTGCTTCCACTAATCTCCCTGCCCCCCGCCCCATAAAGTTGATCTTTCTTGATTCTCCAGCCTGCCTTTCCAGCATTCATTTCCCTAACCAGGGACATCATGCCCTGTCTCCTGAAAGCTTCCAGGAAAATGTCACTGAAAAGGAAAGGCCTGATAAGCTGATAACTACCTCGCTGGTTAGTCATTGAGTATTTATTAGGTGCCAGGCATGTGCAGAGGGTGGTTGACACACATAAACTAATTTAATCTTCATAGCAACACTATGAGGTGGGTTACTATTGTTAACCCCTTTTTACAGATAAGGATACAGAGGCTTAGGGAAGCTTATTATGTCATCTCTCCCAGGGTTATTTGCATGTGAACAGTGCACACACAGCACTGGCCAAAAAGTGGATCTGCCTTTGAGAAATTTCAGGCATCATCTGGGGATCATGGGTTAAATCTTTGAATTTTAAAAAAATGTTGGCCTTGGCTTCTCTGACTTCTCAGTCAGTGGGGAACATACATTTGTTCGTCATCTGGGAGATTTGTGGAATCTTCCAAGACATCAAGAGCTTCATTTTGACTGTTTACAAATTGCTCTATGCAGTTTCACAATGAACTCATTTATTTACTGTGGGTTCTCAGCAAAGTAAAGCTTTTCCTTTTGTAGACATCTGCCTGAAAAAATTAAGGATGGCCAGCAGCTGAAGAATATGAGTGGCCAATGGTTTTATGAAGCAAAGGCAAAAAGGCACAGAGACAAAATCCACGGCACAGATATCATCAGAGCATCCATGAGGAAGAAGAGGCTCCAGGTGGCAGGTGAGTTGATGGGGCTAGTGCAGTCAGAGGCAGCCTTCGTTTGGGAAGGAGAAGTTGGGAGAAGGGAAATGTCAGAATTATTATGAAAATCTGCTGAGGGAAATCATTAAGTGTACACTTTTCATAATGTGTAGCCCTCTGGCTCAGACTTTTCTTGCTCTGCATTTGGGTGGATGAGTAGGGGCTGAGTGACTCAGAGTGGTGTAGAAGGAGAAAGGAAGCCTTATAGATGCCGTGGTGAGTAGTAATAGCTGCACAATTGAGATTTATAAGGGCCTAACATCTCTTCTTTCTTTCTTTCTTTTTTTTTAAATCCTTACCCAAGGATGTATTTATTGATTTTAGAGAGAGGAGAAGGAAGAGAAGGGTTGGGGAGAGAAAGAGAGAGCGGGGAGAGAAACATCAATTCGTTGCCTCCCATATGCACCCCAACCAGGGATCAAACCTGCAACCTAGGTATGTGCCCTGACTGGGGTTCAAACCTGCAACCTTTAGTGTATAGGACAATGCTTTAACCTACTGAGCCACCGGCCAGGGCCACCTTTCTTTTTTCTTTTTCTTTTTTAACTTTGAAGATGTAGAACCTTTTCTCCTGAGTAGGGTGAAGAACTTGGAAAGAGATTAGCCTCCCCATTAAATTACCTTGACATCTGATACTTCTTTAATCAACCAAGTACATTATTTAAGGTACTCCAAAGACAGTATTTTGAGGGCTTTTTAAGAATTCTGTTGAGTTCATTAAATATTTCCCTGGTGCATTCTAACTATGAACTAGTCAGTGTAAATCTTAACCACTGAAAACAGCCCTTTCCTAGATCTAGCCTGTACTCAATAAGAAAAATAACTATCACCTTTTGAGCACCTAATATATGATGGGCATTTACTCTCTCTTCTAATTGTAGCAGCAATCTTGTAAGATACGTATTATTATCCCCATTCTATATATGGGGTATGTAAAGTTCTATATGCCCGAGGTCAGATAGCTGGCAAATGGCAGAGCTGGGCTTTCAGTCTTTCTGAAAGAAAGAGCCACACTCCTTATAGGGAAAGGCTGCCTGCTTGGTATGGACCACACATTGCTCACAGGCCTCTTGATTTTCAAAACCATCCAGACCTTCAGGAATCCTGAGGGGTACAGGTTAGTACTGTGGACTCCATTTTGCAATTGAAAAAACTAGGCTTATACTATAAAGAGACTTATGGGGAATACCACCCTGGAATGTGAGTATGTATGGAAATTGAAAGCCCTTATATTGTTCATCTTCTTAACACTGATGAAAGTATTCTTGGCACTTACAGGTTATGTGGTCTTGGGTAAGTTTCTAGAACTCTGTGATCCTCAATTTTCAAATCCACAAACTTGGAAAGTCACTCCCTCCTCACAGGAGAATACATGCAAAGAACTCAGCTCTGTCCACGGCACTGTCTTCATTCTGTTGATGCTCATTATCTGAGAGGAGCAGGTCAAGAGCCATGTTCAGATGTAAAAGAGGTTGTTTCCTGAAGAGTGAACACAGAGGTTTTATGGGGTCCTGGCATCTGAGCTGTGTATTAAGGAATATGTAGAACGTGGGTGTGCAGAGAATGGGGGGAGGAGAAGGTAGTAGAGGGGAAAATTCTAGGCTTAAAGCCTTTGTTCCTCTTACTATCCCAGAGCCCAGCCTCGAGTTAGGCACATTGTAAAAGTTCAGTAAATGCTTGGTGATGATGGTGCTTCCATTTCAATGAGGATTCCTTGTCCTCAGAGTCTCCTGGCCATACACATCCAGTCCTGACACAATTTTGGGTCAGATTCACCTAGAGGCAGTCAGAATTTTGCTTCAGTCATCTCTGGAGTTACCTGCACGTTACTCTCAGGAGACTGCTGGGTGTGGGCACACAGGGAGCTAACTTCAGAAGAATCTATTGGCTTCTCTTGCAGATACAATTCTGATGCCTAATACTCAGATACATTGGTGATTGCTGTGACAGTCAGGGAAGGCCTGAAATTCAGGTTCCAGCCTTCAGTGATAAGAGATGATATGAGTTTGTAGGTCACAGAGGTGAGAGATAACCTTTCTGTCTTTATTGTTTCCTGTTTCAGCTGAGCAGAGTGAGGACAGAGAAAATGGGGCAAAGGAAAGCTGGGTGAATAATGTCAACAAAGATGCTTTCCTTCCCCCAGAGCTAGCTGGAGTTGTAGAAGAGCCAGCAGAAGACGTAGGAGCAGCAAGCCCCAGGTAAGACAAGGCACTTGTGGGGAGAGCGGCTGCATGCAGCGTTCATGGCTTGGTGTGCTGTGCAGGCAGAATAGCAGGCTGTTAGTGCAGATGCTAGACTGTCATGGGCATGGGGAAGGGGCATCTCTGAGAAAATTCTGGGCCCCAAGGTAAGCAAAGCCTGGGTAGTACTGTACCCCAGCTTCCAGAATGTCTAATGAATCTGAATATTAAGTAAAATTAAAATATTAAGTGGTGATTTCTTTCAGCACCAACAAGAAGTTGTTTTTTATTTGTACTAAGGATTTTCCCTTAGGGTAAAATGAAGAGGTACTGTAACATGAATATAGAGGATGAGTCACTTCAGGGAAGAGATGAATTATAACCAAATTATAACAGCCTGGTACAATGGAAGATGCTCAAGCATGTGAACCAGGCAGATATGAGCTCAAATCCTGAATATGCTGGTTATTCCATTTGACCATGGGCAGGTCATTTAACCTCCCTGAGTCTCTTTTCTTAACTAGAGATAGGAATGATAATCTACATCAGGAAAGACTGTGGTGACAATTAGTGATAATGGATGCAGAATACCTGGCTTTTTAAGGATGTACATTGTCCTACATGTCACCATCTGGCTGATGTGGATCTATAATGCCACAAATGTTTTTAGCATGATGATGACCTTTTAAGTATTTAAGGTTTTTCCTACTGGTGTTCATCACTTGAAGGTATAGTTGTTACCCTTTGGCAGGAGGGTGGTTCCACTTTATCTGTATCTCCTCAGTGAAGACAGTTCACTTCAGAGTATCCAACTGGGATAAAGATGATGGGTTCATTGGTGGGACTCACTGAGTCAAGGGGTCCAAGGCACAGTAGAGGCTGAAGGAATGGAAGCGTGGGCTCTCATGTACACACAGCTATTTCAGGAAGCTCAGGAAAGGGTGTGAAGAATATCCTACTCCTTTCCTTTCAGTGACTCTCCATTTACCAGCTGCCTGCAACCCCTCTAATGGGGTGAATACCTGCCTTCCTTCTACAGGGAAAGATGAGACCTTAAATAATAAAAACTCTGGGAGCAAAAATACAGTCATTTAGATAAACCACCAAGGAACTGAGAGCAGCTCCTAAGAGCCAGGTTTGATGGGGGTGGAGGGGCCCCAGAGCACTGACTGAGGGAAGAGGGTACAAGCACCACAGAACATTTTGGAATTTCAGAGATGAACTTAGCTCATTGCAGTTTTATGGGGGTCAGACTTCCTGTCCTTCTCCCAGAAACTCACATCATCTCAAAAGGCCTGAGGAACAGAGGGGTCACTGCCTGATAGCCCAACTCACTTTCCTCATGCCCCCATGTGGGCTACTGGGTATTACCCCACCCATTCCTCAGTTTGAGGCTATTGAGTTTCCAAACTTTATGTCTGCATTGTTTTCTGCCTTCCTTTGTGTGACCTTTAGGGTCTTGTGAGTCTTTCAGGTCTCATCTGTTAATCAGGACAGAGCTACCTCACCAGGATGCTGTGAGATGAAATAAAATGAGGTGGGGGGACCACTTAGCGCTTCTCAGGAAGAAAGAAAATTGGCAATTTTCAAGTGGCAAAATTAAGTCATTACAATATAGATGGGGTATGGTTCAGAAAGCAAGAATAAGAATGTTAGATGTATCTAGCATGCTTTGCTCATTACATGGCGTGGGTGCTAATCACCCAGAACTGTAGGTGGAGCTGTCACTTACTTCCTCTGTTCCTTGTCAGAAACCACTGCTTTGCTCAGTATCAGGTTCCTGCAGTGTTTCTCACCTATACTTTAACCTTTGGGAACTGGGTGTGTTAAGTGTATTTTGGGGATTGTACTTTTAGACTAAGTGAACTTCAATAGAATGACTCAATACCTGTCAATATTTTCTTAGCCAGGAGTCAGAGAGCTGAGGTAACAGTGACTGGATATTGTAGTTTCTGAAGGAGGTTTTCTAATGGTCTCCCTGGCTAGATTCCTTCTTTCTGTTGCGGGTGCCACTCTGTGGGCATTCTGTGTGGGAGGAATGAAACCACTGTGGGTACTGAGCATGTACTCAACCACTGGAAGCTACCTGTGTTCTTTTGGAACTCGTATTTGTTTGCACCTGTCACACCAGGAAGCAGAGAGAGGTTTGGTGAACAGAGGAGAAGAGAATGAGAAAACTCCAAACGCTCACAGTTCTAGTTCTGGCTAATGACCGTCAGCAGGGCTCTGTCGGTCAGACTGTGGATGGCATTGGAAAACTCTGTGGTAAAGGACTAGTGTTTTGCTTTGTGTGTGTTTTTTAAGGCATTTCTTTCAATTTCTGCACTTACCTCATCATGAATAGCAACAGACAGTTCATGACTGTCACTGGTCCATGAACCACACCTTGATGGCACATCTTGCCACACCTCCCAAGTTATTGTAGAACATGTACATAAACTGCAGGACTGAGCCAAAATGGGGAGTACAGAATGGAAATGTGAGGCACTCTCTTCCTGTGGTCAGGACCCATTCCGTAAATGAGGTGTAATGTGTCCTGGCTATAGAGGCAGGCGTGTTCTGGGATGAGAAGCCCCTCCTTTGTTACTTACAATGACATATTCTGTAAAACATGTTTGGGTGCTCCAGGAAACACTGAGAGTCTAGTAGCCTCTCTACTGAGCAGGGCTGTTGGTGCTTCTCCGGCCTGAAACAGCCTGGAAGGGGACTGACCTTTTAGTTTCTCTCTCTCTTCCTTTAAGGTAATCTCTGTGAGGATGGGTAACCCTCTGTTAACTTATATTGTCTTAGCTCTGTGGCCACAGATAGGACCAGCCTAAGACCTCTAAAAAAACCCAACAACAATAGTTTCTCCAGACTTCCCAGTTCTTTCCCCCTTCTGGCTCCTCCTCTCACATCCTTCCTATCCCACATCCCTCGGTTGCCTGGCAGCCTCCTTTCTCCTTTGAGAGGTCTAACATGCGTTCCATTCTAAGGAATATTTGACTTTGCAATAATGCCAGCCTGTCTGGATGGAAGTTTTGAGCTTCTTTTCTGATGAGTCGATCTACGGGCAATGCATTTGATCTTTTGTCCTTGGATTGATTGCAATCCAGTGATGTGGCCATTTCATTTCCTGGAGGCCTGTCCCACAGAGACATTTATATTGAGGTCTTACAAGAATTGTTCTTAATATAGGGTCTTGGATTTACCCAAATCAGTTGTGGTAGGAATAGTTTCACTGTGCATCACAGTGCCTTGTACTTGGATGAGAATATTTGTGTTAGATAAATTTGTAGGATGAAATGTGGTCACACCAGAGAAGTAATATTTTACTTTAAAAGAAGACTGACTTGAAAGACTTGGTATAGCATATATCCTAATTCTGTTCCTTCGAGTTATCCCTGAGCTGTTTCCTCATTTGTTTATTCATGTGTTTAGGATTCCTTGAGTGTAACATGTGCAGGCTTGGTGCTGGGCACTGGGGATGAGCTGCAGCATTAGCTTCAGGAAGCTCGCAGTCCAAAGGGAGAGATCAGCAGCAACAAAAAAAAAAAATGGGAAGAAAATCACTTGCAGGATTCCTTCTGATTCTAGACACTGTTGATATTTAAAATGGAAAATACATCAGTAGAAAGTATGTGATGTGTGCTATTATTTTTCACTGTTTTAGAAAGAAAGGCTAGTTAAAGTTAAAAAGCTTTTTAAACTTTGAAAGTTGGAGCACTTTATGGCTGGACATAGAAATGAATGGAGTTTCTGGCTGCTTATGTGGTGTGATTTTTAAGACTTCTGTGAAGCCCTACCACTTTCCCTGATTCCCTGCCACAGTACCTAACATTGTTTTTTTTTTTTTTTTTTTAATTTTAGTCTTCAAAGGCTTGCATTAAAATGCAGACACTTTTAGGAGGGGAATCCTAATGCCAAAGTCACAATCTAATATTTTAATAATCCTGTTAAGGAAATAAACAATTTTGTCTAATTGTTCCTTCTAGTATGCAGGGAGTTTCTTATGGGTGCCTATGGAAAGAAATTATGGAGTATAGGGTGTAGAATTTGGCATGCTTTACTGTTTAAAAAGCTCATCTTGTGGGATATACTGAATACTTTTATATGCAAGACACAGTCTACTGCCCTCTGAGAGGGATTCTAAGACACCAAAGACACAGTATCTGGCTATAAAGAGGCTACATGCTCTTAGGAAAACAAGTGCATCCATCTAACAATATCTGATCACATGATAACAAATAGGGCCAGGCAGGGAATGAATTCCCAATCCAAAATACCAATAAAGTATGCTGTAAGATTTGAGACAAGGAGACCCACTTCCAGCTAGGCTGACACAGGAGCAGCATCATAAAAGGAGGTGAGGGTTGGAGTGTGCTTGAAGATTAAAGCGAAGATTTGGGGAAGAGAACAGAGCAAACACTTGAGGGAGGAGCTGGGGGACAGGTTGAGTGGAGACCACAGAGACAGTGAGGTTTGGGGACAGCAGGTACATAGACCACTTTGTTTGGTATGAAGGGTCAACAGAAGGAGTGGGAAGGTATATTGAGGAGATGGTGGACCATTTCCATTTCCTTTCTGGGAAATTTAGACTTTATTCCCCAGGCCTTGATGATCCAGGGAAAGGTAATTAGTAGAAGAGGGACAGAGTCTACATTGTGCTTTAGACCATTGCAGCTTAGTGATGGAATGCTGAATGGAATGGCACTCTAGAGTCGGGAGGTCAGATGTGAGAGTAATGCACAGGTGGACAGGAAGTGACAGATGTAAGAGTCACTAGGAAGAAGGCTCACCCAGACTGTACTCCAGTCCTCTGGCCATAAACCACTGCTTTACTGATGCCAGAAACAGGCAGTATAGCCGAGCTGTTATGATGATTGTCTTTGGAGTCAGGGTGAGATGCACTTGGTTCAAATCCCCAACTATTTCACAACTAACTGTGACATTGAGCAAGTTACTTAACCTGTTCTGGCCTCAGTTTTCTTACCAGAAAATGAGGTGAAGGATATATAGCTAACAGGGATGATGCCAAGATCAGCTGAGAATTAAGGCGATTACTGTACTGACGGTTGCCCAATAAAAGACCGGTACGCAAAACACTGTTGTCTTCCTTGAGAGAAGCAAAGCCAGAGCTTAATCTAGGAGGCAGCTGTATTTTCAGAGATAGAGCTTGAGACATAAGACTCTTGTTCTAAAATTTTTAAATTAAGCAGACTTGTAAACTGCGGCTAACCAGGTATCCTACTCTCATCCCACTCCCCCCACCCCAACTACAAGGTAATCCAGTGAATTCTGTGTGTTTCTGGTATTTTACTGTCTAACCATCTGTTCTGAATGCCTCATTTCTTCCATTCTTTTGCTTTCTGAATAGCAGGACAAAGACATTTTGTTTAAAACCTACACAATGTGGGTTATTGTAGTTTGACAAATAACATGGATTTAAAAAAATAAAACCAAATATGGTCACCTGTCTGCTGCCACTGCTGCCTTCCCTACCACTGGCTGAGTTGCCTTCGTTTGTTCATTCACCACTTGTGTGCCAGGCACCACACAAGGCATTACAGGGATAGGAAGGTAGTTGAGATCCTCTTGAGGGTCCCTCCAGTTTACTATGAGCAGTAAGATATATATACACAGGGTGAAGTTACAGAATAGACATGACTTACATGGCTGGATAGAGTTTAGTAAGAGAGAGACTGGTTTTATCTCTGGGAAGGAGGGGACAACACCATGTGCAATATGAGCTTTAAGGACTGGATTTCTAGGGAACAGAGAAAGAACTAGAGACGCTGCTTATCCTTTATTCTTGGTGAGTGGGAAGGGGAGAGGAGGAAGATGTCAGGAGAAGATGAGTGTTCCATGGAGACCCTTGACCATCACACCTGGCTCATTTCTTCTGATTATTATGTGGCTGCTTTATTGACTGAGGGAGATGATACAGAACACTCCAAGGAACTGAGCATGGCACATTCTATAAGGCTCCTGACATCACTCACCGCTTCTTAAAATGACACTCAAGAGAAATTGCTTTCTAGTCCTGAGCTATTATTTGTTTGTTTGTTTATTGTATAGACATTGTGAGCTCTTATCAGTGACCAGATTTCCTTTGTCACCCTGGCTGCTCGATAACTTGATTCAAGTGTGTTCCCATCTGTTGCGAGAATAGCCTCCTGTAATGTGTTTGTCTATTAGCTTTAATTCTGGCTCCATTGTAAGTTCTTACTCTTGTTTCTTTTCCTTTCCCTCACCATCCTTCCCCCCTTCAGACTGTATTTTATATAGATCTGCCTCACCTCCTCTAATTCCTTTCTGGAGCAATGAGGAGGGGAACAAAAGGAATAATGGCTACCTCAAAATTTCAGCCTGTTTCTGGGACTAACTCTGTACAAAAAATGACAGCTGAAGTGCAGAGGGAAAGAAAGGAAATGAAACTGTAGGAACATCTAGCCCACAATCTTGATAATAGTATTGGGCCAGGCTTTGTAGCCTTGGGGCAAGTTACTCTCCTTCTCAGCCTCCAGGTTCTTTGCTGCCAGGTGGAAAGCCAGCACCCTCTGAGGTATTTTCCATACTCTTGACTCAGTGATGCCACTGAGAGAACAGGTGGAGTTTAATGCAGCATCGTGGTTCAGCCAACAGTGACCTCACCTCTTATGCCCGAGGCAAGGCCAGGTCACTGGAACAGGAAATCTGAGCAGGTGGTTTTTTCCCCATCCAGAGGTACTTTGACCCTCTCCTGTCCTTCTTACTCAATAGCCAAGGGAGTGGCTTTTCAGGAGGGAGCCTGCTCAGCTCACTTTCCTCCATTCACTCTCACTGTACTCTCATTCTGGGTCTGTCTGGTCCTTTCAGTAGGGAATCATGGTCTAAGCCATTTCCAGGTTTTAACCTCCCTCCATCTTCTGGATGCTGTGCTGGCCTTTATCCCATTTGTATATGAATAGGAACTCACCTGGCCAGCCTGAAGAGTTGGGCTGAAAGTTCTTAGTAAGTTGCCCAAATCCTCCTGCCTTCCTGCACAGAATCTCTTAGATCTGCTGTTTCTTCTGTCCCTTTGCTGAGTCACTTGTCTCACCTGAGGCTTCTCTTTGGTATTTGCTACCTGAGTTAGAACAAGCACTGCCATTCTGGCCCTGGCCTATTTGATGAGGCCCTAAAACTCTTCAGAGTCATGTTTCAGCAACATTCCCCCCTGAGACCACTTGGTCACTTTTGTCTGCATCTGATGTTAGCTTCTGACTTTGAGACAAGTTCATTTCTACAAATTTAAATGGTGAACCCCTTGTGTGCCTGGTACCATGATAGAAACTTCAGGGCTTCTGAGGGATTATTTTTTTCTTGTCTCATACTTGTCTTTCATTTCTGCTCTGCCATTTCCTTTGCTTCACTGCTTAATCATTTCTAGGCTCAACTCTCTTTCCCTTCCTGCCTTAATAATGTTTGGCTTCAGAGACATGATTTATGCTTCCCCAGAGGGCGAGGTTTTCTTCTCTGAATTATTGTTTCTTTTGCAGTTCCACCGTGGTCAATCCAGCCTCCACTGTGATTGCTATGTCTCCGGAAAACTCCAGGAGCTCAGCTGTGTCTCCAGCTAAGGTAGACTGGACTCAGGCTTTGAAAAATCGCATTTTTGGCGGGAATTCCATTTTTTTCATTTTATCAAAGCACCATGAAATAAAGGGGATTTTGTAGTATTTTTTGGTACCAAATATGGATGATTTTTACTATTTTATACAAGAAGTTACTTGTATGGTGGGAAAGTTAATGAATACCATATTATTGGTATATCATGCTGAAGACCCAGATTTTTTGCCCTAGAGAGTAAAAAGTCTGACGCTATTTGAGGCTGCTTCAACATGCCTTTTAAGCTCTTTTTAAGCTTACACAGTGTGGCTTGTTTATGCCATGTCAGGTTTTTTTCCTATTCGTTGCTTCCTGACCCTCTGTTAGAGGTCTGCTTGGGGGAGGGGATTGCCAATTTATGAAACTATAGATAGTAAACATTGATACTTAGTCTTATATATTAATTTAAAAAATTCTGTTTACTGGTATCCTTTCTTCATTGGAATTGGTAATCATAATAGTGACTATAAATACTTCAAGATATGTTGATAAGTATCTTTTAAATCTTTATAGAAAAGGTCGATTACAGTTATATTTAGTACAGGTTTAATCTAGCACAATGAGAGTCTCATTGGTAGAAGGAGCACTGATAGGGAATCTGTCCTTATTAGAGTGTCAGGTATACCTTGACCTTAACCATATCTTTGATATATCCAGGCCTAAGTTTTCTCTATAAAATGTGACATATAAATTTGAATCCCTGGCTCTGGTCTGACATTGTAGAACTCTGGAATTGAGTATATTTTATATAACAGCATTACCTTTTTGTGTGACATATACAAGGTCTGTCCAGAAAAACTCCAGCCATTGTTAATATAATGAGAATATTTCACACAACATCGATGTAGCCTGGCAGCCAAGGAGAGTGGACTGGAATGCGCATGTGTGAACAATGATGACTTCACTGTACTAGTCAGTGGGGGCAGTAGGCCACATTGAGTGAGCTTGTGTACTGTGTGGCTGTCCCATTCAAAATGACTTGAGCAAATAGAACAATAGATCTGCAACAAGTTTTGTGTTAAGCTTGAACATTCCTCTGCAGAAGGATTCAGATGACTCAGATGATTCAGAAGGCTTTCAGGGACAATACAATGAGGGCAGCACAAATAAAAGTGTGGCACAAATGCTTCAAAGATGGTTGAGAATCTGTTGAAAGTGATCCACATTCTGGCATGATCTGCAGCAAGCAGAACACCTGAAAATGTTGAATGCGTATGGGCTGCAATCAGCAAAGATCGGCTACTGACAGTGCGAGAACTAGAAGCTGATCTGGGGATTCCAAAAACTACTGACTTTCCCTAAAACTAAAATCACCTTTGAAAGGGAAGAGATTTCAGACCTTTGATGAGATTTAGGAAAACATGACAGGGCAGCTGATGGTGATTCCAACAAAGAATTTACAGAGTGTTTTGAACAATGGAAGAGACACTGGGAGAACTGTGTGAGGTACCAAGGTGCCTACTTTGAAGGTGGCAGAGACATCATTGTCCTATGTTTCTCGTATCTTGTATCTTCTTCAATGAATGTCTCTATTTTTCATATTACATGGCTGGAAACTTTATGGACAGACCTCATATAGTAATTCTATGCTAAACTGATTAACCAGCACAGACATTTTTCAAGTGTGCCAGATAGAATTTATGGGGTAAGACTATCAAATATTGGAGATAATAAGCATTTGCTAACACTGAGTTGTTGTTATGACATTTAAAATGGGTTTAATAAACAATATTTTTCCCCCAGCAAAGGAAGAACCCATTTAATAGCTCCAAGTTGCCAGAAGATCACTTATCTCAACAAACCAAGAAAGAGCAGTCAGCAAATGGAAGGACTGGTTTCTTTCAGACTTCAAAAGAGGGTAAATATTATTTTTATAGACTAGATATTTTTATCTCTGCTATCTGTAGACAAAGGGAAATTCTCAGAGTTCTTTTGACTAAAATAACTTTTAAGAGAAAGTGAAAGGTCCTGGTGGTTTTCTTGTTCTGCTCTGCCCATTGGTTTCCCGGGAAGGAAGGAAGCACACATTTTGGAAGCCAGAGGATCATGCATTCCAGCCTTGGAGCTGAACTGGGAAATTTTTTCACCAGAGGCATTCAGTCACTCATTTAACAGTTTTTATTGGATATCTACCATATGCAGACTCAGTTCTGCTGAAAATTAAAAGTTTGCCTCAAAAGAAAAGGACTACTTGATCATGTTTTGATTCTCTAATCTGTAATCATCAGCCCAGTCCCTCAGGAGCATTAGGTCAGGTTTGTGACTAGTAATTTAAGTCTGCCTCTTATGAAATTTCACCATTCTTCCATACCATTAAAAGGAAATACTAGACAATTTAATCTCTTCAAAAGTAACTGTAAAAAGACGCTGGCTGGGTAGCTGACTTGGTTAGGGCATTATCCCGATATGCCAACATTACAGGTTCGATCCCAATCAGGACACATACAAGAATAGAACAATGAGTACATAAATAAGTGAAACAACAAATCAATGTTTCTCTCTCTATCTTTCAAATAAAAAAATAAAAAAAAGAAGTAACTAAGAAAATTTCACAAACATTAAAGATTGGGTAAGGGGTAGAAAATCAACAATTGAAAGTGAAGTTAGGACTTTCAATCAGCCTGTTTAAATATTAACATTTCTCTCCATTGGGAATACTTTACACAGCATAAATATTATACAGAAAGAAGTCACTGGAATACATTACTTTTTTAAACATTTGACAAAGTTAATTTTTGTTTTAGGTATTGAGTTTTGTTTTGTTTAATTGAGTCTCTTTTTCTGGTTTCCATCCATATATTTTTTTAAGTGACTTCTGTGTTTTCCTTCCCCTCCCTGCAGCATTTTTTCAAATTGTTTTCTTAAAAACTTTTTTATTGAGTATAAAATACCACAAAGTATGTATGTAAAGCACATTAATCTCAAATATATAGTTGAGTGAAGTGCGTGCATGCATTTTAAAAGGCTTTTTAATTAGTTCTGCATTTATACTACATACTTATTGCCTTTAATATTTTAATACTTTTACTATATATAGATTAAGTTTTTCTTAAGTATGTTAAATTATACATTACTCTCCACTTGATATATCATCTAATATGTCATAAATTTCAGGTGAATTACCAGGGACAAAAGAAAAGTCATCTATCCTGGCTATTTCGAACCAAAAGTTAGAGAAACCAAAGCAGAATTTTCCAGGCCCTGAGAGTGGATCCCAGATCAGAACTCCAATCCCCAAAGCCAGGAAAATGATCTACAAATCACATGATTTAAAGCAGGATGATAACCAGTATTTTCCTAGACAGAGGACAGACTCCCTAAATACAAGAGGAGTTCCAAGAGGGATCCTGAAGCGCAACTCCAGTTCCAGCAGCACAGACTCAGAAACTGTTCGTTTTCATCAGAACTTTGAACCCAAAAGCAAAATTGTGTCACCTGGCCTAACCATCCATGAGAGAATTTCTGAGAAGGAGCGCTCTCTAGAAGATGACTCCTCCTCAAACTCACTGGAGCCATCAAAGCACGTGAGATTCTCTGCAGTGAAGGATGAACTCCCACAGAGTACTGGGCTAATCCATGGCCGGGAAGTGGGGGAATTCAGTGTTTTAGAATCTGACAGGTTGAAGAATGGAACAGAAGATGCCAGAAACATGGATGAGTTTTGGAAGGACCTGAAGTCTTCCCAATACAGAAAGCCTTTGCCTTCACATCAATCAGACTCAAGCCCAAGTGCATTAAAAAATGAAACACATCAGCCAAATACTTCTGGTTCTTTGTCAATTCATGGGCACCCTTCTCCCTTGGAGGTTTTAACAGCAAGACCACAGTGCAGTGAGAACTCACCCACCGTCGATGAACACAAAGCTAAATCATCAGAATTATCAAGGCTTGAATCGGAATTGTCCAAAAACCCTGCTGGTAAGAGAGTTGTCACTATCAGGCAATAAGCATTGACTCAGGGGGCTTGAAATGGCTAGGCCAGGCACCAGTGGAAGCTGCACTTTGCCTCCTAGCCATTCCTGCTGGAATTCAAGCAGATGCCACTGGAGAATGCTTATACCTCTTAATGGGTTTGCAGGTTTTCCTCAATCCCCAATGATTAAAGAAATCAGGATAGCACGGTTTCTGGCCCATTATGCTTTAACCTAAAAATGTAATCGTATCAATTATTTAAGCAAATTGCCATGTTTTGAGTTGTATCAAGGTTTTTATACAGAGCAAGAATTAAAAATATGCTAATACCTTTCTATGGAATAAATATATTATTACTTATCTAATTCAAATTCATCAATTACCACTTAACCAAACTTTGGTTTCTCTTTTAATCTCAAGAGAACCTTCAGTTTCTTATCCTCAAAGGATGGGAAACGAGATTTTGAGTACTTACTTTGGCCTACACAGGGCCTCTGGCCTTTTTTCTTCGCCTTTGAAAGCTCTGCAGGAACTTTCTCTTCCAGCTGGTGTGAGCTGAGAGGTAACAAGAATGCTTCTTTTTCCTGCCAAACAGCTAACTAGCTCTCTCTTGAAGATTCTACAACTCTCAGGGGATACCTCAAACTGCTTTCCCATAGTTACATGATTACTTCATAATTCTTATGTTTTAAAAAACAGAAACAATGGTGAAAATAATTCCTTGTACTCTCCCATCTTCAGTAAGTCTTCATCCAACCCTATGATTATTTCTTTATTGTCAAGAATATTTATGGTAGCAACAGGCAAGTTTCTAACCCATTGGCTCTCTCTCCCTTATTTGTCAGTAGTGAGTTAACTGGAGTCACTTTGCTCAGCTCTGCAGTTTCATACTTGTTCAGATCAACCTACTTTTTAAAGGATAAAGCATTTTCACCCCCCTTCCCCTCGACACTTAAATCATTTGAAGAGAACAGAATACTTTTAAAAAATTAAAAATCAGCAGGTACTTCTTTAAGAAATCAAGGAACTCATATTAAAGGAAATTATTAAAGTTTCAGTAAATATTAGCAAATAATTGGATGATGCTTACTTAAATGTTTATTCAAAAGATGAAGGATATTTCTTTGGTAATATTTTTCCATAGAAAAAAGTTGGCAAATCTTTACCGTTTTTCAAACTGCAACTGCTTTTAGAGAATATCTTTGAAACTTCATAATAACTACTTACTTGTGCTTTCTGATTTTTAAATCCCAACTGACCATGAACACTGGGAGGAAGACATCAGTCATTAGCTGGGCTGCTTTTGATGGACAGGCAGGCCTTCTGACCCCAGAGCTTGTAAACTAAGTTCTGCTTGCTTATTAACACCACACCTGTTTTATGGAACACCACAAAAATATACAGTAAAAAATATGGAGCATAAAAAGAAAATTAGGACCAAGTAAAAGGTAAAATCTCTTCAAACTATGAAGGTTTAACTTTAGCTCTGAACTTCAGAATAGTCAATGTCACGGTCATCCTGAACAAAACACAAAACAAAAGAATTCCTTAAAAGAAACAGAACATTACCTCACATCCAAGTTTTAAAATAAGTGTTATTTTTAAAGTAATAAACTTTCATTACTAAACATTTGACAAGAAGAAATGCTCTCAGGTGCATCGAGCCAACAGCTGATAAATGATGCTGTACCTCAATAGCTAAAATAAGTGGGGCCTAGGGGTGAAGGGACAGAAGTAAAAAGAAGAAATGCTCACAGAAGAAAACAAATATCTGTGATGTCATTACCCTGCAGTAACTATTGCTAACCTTTAATTGTAGAGCTTTTCAATAATTTTTAGGCATGAATATAATTTTAAATTATGTTTGTACTGCCTAGACTTCTTTTTTCAGTAACAGTATATTACGAACACTTTTTCATCATTGAGTAGTTTTCTGTTAAACAGTCTAACAGAATTCTTAAAGATTTCTCAAAGAAATTTCACAATTATTACATGTATTTAATAGTACAAAGTATAGGTAAGAAAGGAAACCAGTATCTATTATAACCTGTAATTGTCAATTATAATATAAAAGCTTGTTGTTTTCATATTTAACCAGAGTTGAAAAATAAAATTAAAGATTGAATTTTATTAACTAATATGTCCTCTAGTGCATTTGAAATGTAGCTGACTTCATAAAAATTTAGCTCACGTAATTTCCAGAAACATAACTTAGCATTCATAAGGAAGAGGGAGACATGCTGAAATACCTGAATCTTAACCAGAGGGGAAGAATGTCTGAGTTCCCTTAATCTAAATGTACCCTGTGTCCTGTGATTAAGGCTCAGAAAGGACTCTCTCTACTTTCTTGATGGCTTAGAAAGAACCTAAATATTCTTCTCCAGCCTCCTAGTCACTGGTTAGCCAATGTCAGGTAGAGATCAAATTTTCCATTGGTCCTCATTTTGGTTTATTTGGCTTATCGAAACTATTTCTAAGTCACAAATTATAGGATGGAAATTGGGGATAATGAAGGAGCTTCTTGAGATCATGGTCCTAAAACTCCAGTATGCAAGACAGTCACTGGGATCGCTGTTGGTAAAGACTCCTGGGCCCATCTTCAGAGATTCTAGTTTAATAGATCAGGAGTCTGGCCCAGGAATACAAACATTCTCACTGTTTCATTCTGATATTCTATTCATTCTGATATTCTATTTTTGTTTAATCTTCCTTGAAAGATGTCTTTTCAACTCCTGAAATCTCCTAAGTCTGTGTTCCTCAAACTTGGGTATAAACCCTGAGTGATTATGAGTGTGCTAGTGGGTAGGTAGAGTCATAAAATCAGCATGGCGTATCTTCCTGGAAGGTCAATTTCATGCAAAGATGATTTGAGAGTGAGAGAAAATTATATGTAAATGCAACATGAAGCAGAATACAAAATTTACATGAATTTTTAAAGTAAACCAAAGACCTGAAAGAAATTTCCCTATTCGGTCTACACCCCATACTTCCAGGCATCTCCATTTACCTTCCCTTACTGTCATAGGACATCTTTGGCAGAATATCTTAATTCGGAATATCTTAATTAGGTTTACCTTATAACCCCTGAAAAATGCTGGTATAAACAACTAATGGTGTGGAACATGTAAATATAAAGTGCATTTTTAAAAGATAATGTGAGTGATTGAATAATAATTCTTTAGGTGTTCTCTTTTCTTATTTAGAAAAGCATTTCTATATTGCAGATGAACTGTCTCATGTTGAGCCTGAGCCTTCTCAGGTGCCAGATCACAGTTCAGGAGACCATCAGCAAGGTAAGCCTCCTCCTCTCAAGACCTTAAAAGATGAGACAGTCTCACGCTCTGGTCCACATGCCACTGAGATAAGGAAGACAACTGATGATTCCATATCTAAAGTCTTAGACTGGTTTAACCGAAGTTCTCATTTAGATGACAATAAGTCATCTCTCCAACATCTCCGAGGAATAGAGCCCAAAGAAAAGGCAGACTCAGAATCACAGATTGCCACTGCCTTGGTGACAGATGACATCATTCTAAAAGGAAATGGCTCAAAAGCTCTATTACCCACCAAAGTTAAATTGATGCCTGTGGAATCTGATGAAATGTCCCAGGGAGAAGGAAATATGCTGCTTTCTGGAAAGTGCCAAGACAGTAATGCAAATCTCAAACCCAAATCTATTAATTTGTCCCATCAAGGCAAGAAAGGTCCAGGCATATTGCAGCCATTTGAAATCTACAGTCCAAATCAAAGGAGTAAAACTATGGACTTCAGCCAAGCTTCAAAAAACGCAGGAGTGGGAAATGGAATACCTCACTCAACCAGTGCTCTCAAGGGATCTGGTGCAGCACATCAAGTTCCATGCAACATTAAGGATGTTGGCAGCTTATGTGAAGAAGAGCCCAAGTTTCATGTTTATGAAAAAGACAGAGGAAACACAGAGGTCAATTTTGACACTTCAAAAATTGTCAAAGGACCAGGTTTGAAAGACAACATGAAGGCAGAGAGAGCGAGCAAAGGAGGAGATACTTATATTCTGAAAGCTTCCATAGAGCCAGAGGGTACTGAGTCACTCCCTGGGGCTCCCCAAAACACATCTCCTTGGAAGGAGCCTGGGGTCCAACTGCAACAGGAAGCTGGTGAGGTTCCCAAGAACCAAGTGCTAAGGGAGACATACAAAAGAGTGAGTGACAGAATATCCTTTTGGGAAGGTGAGAAAGCTGCACCTAAGTTAACTCAGAAAGAACCCACATCTTCACACAATCAGAGACAACCTTTTGCTAAAGCCTATCAGCCTGTAAAGTCCATGGGCAGTTTAGCTACAGGCCAGAATGAATACAATCAAGTGACTGCCAAACAAGTGGTCCTTGATGAGGATGGCCAACCAGCTCCTCTCTCTGGTTTTCATTCCTCAAAGAGACCCCAAGAGATGAGGGCCCAAATATCAAGCTCATCCAAAAATGATCTTTCAACTGACCAATCTGGTCAAGTGTCTCTGTTTCAGAATAAGATAAACAAGCCTATGAAAAGATTGCCAGGGTCAGACAGTTTACATTTTGAAAGAGACATCACTTTGCCAGCACTGCAGCACTCTTCAAATGCTGGGAGTGAAATACATACTTCTTTGGAGAAAGACAGATCTTTAACTGATAGATCAAATCCCAACTTTAAAGTTATGTCCCTAAAAGAAAGAATAGATGAATCCAATACAGAACAGGTTTATAATCCCTCTCAATTTGAGAATTTAAGAAGGTTTTGGGACTTAGGAAGCAACCCAAACAGTCAGGACAATGTTGAGAAGAATACCACCAAAACAAGCCAAAAAAAATATGTGCCTTTTAGTAGTCAGAAACACAAAGAATTCCATGATATCAAATCATCAGGAGAAAATACCCCTGAGATAGAGACACTTCTAAGCCCCCCACAAGTTCCGGCAACAGAGGAAATACAGGAATTAAATTCCAAGTGCACACTCCAGGTGTTACCGTATGAAACCACATTTCCACTGAAGCCATCCACAGAGTCCACTCATAAGCTGCCAGGAAATGAGTCATCAAAGGAAAATGTGCAAAAGAATATGGAATGGTTTGTTACTCCAGTGTTCAAGGAAGAAAAGGATAACTCAGACCAAGAGATTCAAGAATCCATAGTGAAAACAAATGTTTTGTCTAAAGACTACAAAGACACTTTTAATGTCAGCTTACAGAAGCTACTTTCAGAAGCTTCATCACCAGCAATCCAACCTTCTGATGAAAAAGTTCCTGGAAAACAAGTGCTTGGACCAGGTGGTGCTGAAAATAGGACATGTCCTCAAAAGGCAGATTTTGCTGATACTGAGGAAGCATCCAAAGGACCTAAGGACATCATTAATGAGTATGTAGATAAAACAGTAGCTCCTCCAAAGGTCAAACCAAACACTTTGGCTGCTAGTCTAGAAAAACTCCTGAAGGAAGGAACTGGAACTTTACCCTCTCCCTTGCAAAGCAAGTTGGAACCCATTACCCATAGGGTCAACTCCAAGCTTGAAGAGAGTGGAGTTTTTGAAAAAGGCATAGAACAGAGTGACGACTCATCAGCATATCAGAGAGAGATGATAGCTCCTTCTCCAGAAGGGGAAGAAACTTTGGGAAGAATAGCTCTCCCCCAGCAAACTGAAAGTGGTGAGTGCCAGGGAAACTTGTTTCAGGAGGCTGCTGAAGGCTCTTACCCATTGGATCAACCTTCCCATCTTTACAGAAAGGGTTCTTTTGGGATTGTGGCCAGCTCTCCCCAAGATGTGCCTTCTTCCAGAGATGCTTATCTTGCTCCTCAGGATAAGGCACTACCTTCTCAAAGGGAGATTTCAGAGACTGTGGAAAAAGTCACCGTTCCACCCAAACCTGCATGGAAAGATGTAAATGTTGTATTACAAAAGCTACTTAGAGAAGCTTGGTTGAGTTACCCAGTTGGGAGGGAAGTAGTTCCTGGAGAAGTAAAAGAATTTCCTGAAGGAGTACAAGCAGCAGGTAGCCTTCAAAATTCTCCACCATCAGCTACAATGGACATTACAGTTCCAGATAGAAAGGATTTGTATTCCTTCAATGCAGTTCCCGATAAAACTCATGAAGTTGCATCTTATTTAGCTGCCCCAGTGACTCCATCAGAAGAAACCCTTAGCTCATATGGTTCTACTGTTGATTGGTATAGCAAAGAATTACCTCAAGAAGTGGCAGAAATTGTGAGGGAAACAATTATTCAACCTAAATCAGCATTCCTTGAATTCAGGGCTGGCTTAGAGAAACTACTGAAGGAAACAAATGAAACTCTCTTCTCAACATATGAAAGAGAGACAGGTAGTACTGAGGCGCCCAGGCCAGCTGCTTCTGAATTCCATCCTGAGGAAATAAAAGAAATAGTGAGAAAGTCTGAGGCTCCGTCAATAACTGAGAGTGCTTTTGATATTGGTTTTGAGAAACTCCTTAAAGAAGCATCAGAAGCTCCCTCTGATGAGCTCCAGGTGTCAGTGAGGGAAGGAACTCCTGAGAAGGAGACTTCAGAGTCAGAGCAGGCCAGGTTCTTGGGCAGAACCCAAGAGGCCCCCCAAATGAAGCTTAAGAGTAATGTTTTTGAATCTCAAGTCAGCCAGTGTGATGACATGTTGAGAGGAGAAGCTGTGACTGATTTATCAGGATATCTCTGTGGTTCTGAAAGTGGACTTGAGATCATCCCTCAGACCCTTTGTGTGGACCATGAAATAGGGATCATTGAAACCATAAAGCCCCCAGAGCCCAAGGATAGTGAAAGTGAGGTTGCAGGGGTTCGAGAAGTGGCTTTTCAGGAGCCTGGCTTTGAAGAGGGTCCTGAAACAATCAGTGTGTCTGGAAAGAGGCAGCCTGTTCCTCTCCTGACCAACAAGGAAAACTCTACAAAAACAAGTCTACAAAAACAAGTTGAAGTGATTCTGGCATCGCCCTATGAGAGGCAAGAGGAAGAAGAAGAAAGAGAAGGTGTCTCTGACTGTGATTTTTCAGATGGAAACTTTGGCTCTGAAGCAGAAAGCTGGAGAAATATGTCCAGTGAGCATTTTGAAGTTTTTCACCCATTGGTTAATGAGTTAATTAATGGAATGATGATGTAAAGGATGATGTGGAGTTTTTAAAATTGTAATTAATTTTACACTCCCAGATAGTGCTAAATTCTTCTTAGGACTTCAGTTCTCCCTAGCCTTTCTTGATTAAAAACTACATTTCCTTTTGTAGTCTTTAAATAAGTTACATAGAGACAGTTTTACCCACAGGGCAGTGGTCTAGAGTTTTACTTTTTTCTTGTTAATCACCACTAGAACTTTTCGAAACTATTTTTAAAAATAGTTTTAAGAAAAGTTAAAAAGAACTTTTTGTGTTTAGAAACTACCTCTAACATTCAAGTTACTTTTCCTTCTGGAAATAATTAGAATTTCTCTCATAACTGGCAATCCAAACAGAACTCTCTAGTTATATCTGTGGCAAGAAATTGCCACAAATGAGTACAGATTTCCCTTTTAGGGGCACTGTTTACTGCAGCCATGGCTCAACACCAGGGACGGAGTGCAAGGCTGGCACTTTGCTTCCTCAGATCCCTGTGCTGTGGTGTTTCTGTTGCCACACTCTCCCTCGCATTTTCAGTTGTCTTCAGAATCTTCCCCTTCTAGAGTATGACTTTGGTCAGATGACCTCACCTGATTCCACACAAAGGCATTGCCTGGCCTGCTGCATTTCTGTGTCTCCGGCCTTGGCCGAGTGGATGAAGGTCTTAGTGATTATCATATTCACCTGAGTGGGATCATGGGCACTGGTTTCAGCTAGGCTGTAAAGCACAGGGTTTGTCTCAGTTTGCTGTTCCAGTCAACACAGGCAGTTGGGCAGAGAAACCCAGGAACAAATAGGAATACGTTACCTGATGAGAGTAATGAAATGACAAAGGATGCTCCCTGGCAGGACATTTTAACCAAAGCTGCACATCTAGTGTTCATCGCCTTCCTAGGAGTTGAACAGGATTTCTCACTTTCCAGCTCCCTTCAATCTCATGAGAATAAATAAGCTTTGCTGAGTGGCTGCCTTGTGAGGTTTAGGTTCCTTGGCAAGTAGCTGTGGAGCCTCTTAAAATCTGACCAAAGAATGCATTTTTAGTCCTAATCATCAAGTTGAAGACCCCATAACAAATGTTTCTGGTAAGAAAAGGAAAGTGAAACACCTGTCTCTGAATATAGGCAAGAATATAAGTCAGCATGTTGAACTTGGCGAAGTAGATGTTTGCCAAACTGCCCCAACGCGTCACTGGAGCAAAGCGGCCCACGGAAGGAGGAGGGCTTGCGTACCATGCATACTGTTGCCTACTGTGTGTGGTGTGTTTATAGTGTACCAGCCTAACTGGTTGAACAGCAAAAAGCCTATCTAAAAATGAAATAATCAATATTAAATAATGGCCCAGACAGGGCCCAGAGAAGATATATTAAAATCATAAGCTTTGTAAGAGGTATAAAATGGTACAGTCACACTTGTGCATCTTCTAACCTAAATTATTTTAAAACAAATGGGTGGCGTGGTGAGAGCAGAGGGGAACCCGACTACAAAGGCACCAAAACTTGGTGAACAACCTAACACATCCGACCTGTGGCTAGGCTCTTAACTGACAGATACCTCTCTACGTGCTCCTAAAAAAAATAAAAACAAATTCTTTTGAAGTTTCCGTTGTCAGAGACTTTGGAAATGCTGGGAGATTATGTACATTATTAGCATTAAAATTTCCAAGAAGGTCTATAGTGAGAAACCTTTTAGCTTTGAACACAGAGAGTCCCCAGTCTAATTCATCTTGGAACCATTTGCTGTAGAACACCCATTAGCATTGGGCAGAACCAGGATGCGTTTCTGTGAAGTATTGGCTGGGGTAGTTTTCAAATGAATCAAAGTTATTGATTCATTAATGGAATCACTCATTGGCTTTGCAAACATTTTTGAAGCACCGTCAGCCAACTGCTGTCCTAGGCCCTGAGAATGTAACCATGATTGATGGCAGCACTCAGAAGGTCACCCATGATGGAATTGGTACTGTCGAAACAGAAAAATGAAGGGTGGTCCAGGGAAATTCTTTGAAAGGTTGTATGTATGTAGTTGTTGCATTCCGAGGTCATGGACCTTTTTTTTTCCTTTTGGTCCTCCTTTTATAAAGAAAACGTATTAATAGGTGATAGAGCCACCCCCTACCCTTTAAAGTGCCTAGTAAAACAAAAAGTTGACTACCTCATGTCACTTCCCAATATTTTGATGGAAATTTTAGTAGCTCATGAAACCCAAAAAAGCCTACATCTGTTGATTTGGACGATTCACCCATCTGTGTTGTATTAGATTATACACAGATGTTAAACATCTGAATCCTGCCTTTTATGGTTTTTAGCTAATTTTTTTAATGCTTCTAAAACCACTTTGTGGCTGTCTTCAAAAGCTAGAAATGAAGTGGAATGATTCAAAGTCTGGCACAGAACAAATCATGTGCCTAAAATAGAGGTGTAGAAGACTAGGAGATCACATTTCTATTAATGTGGCAATCTTGTTTCTGTATGATTTATACTTGCAAATGTTTCTTGACCAGGAAAGTTATTTTTGTAAAGGACATACTATTTGTGAAGAAATTTTATTTCCATCTTTGAAATGCTTCATAGAGTAAGCAAAGGTATAGATGCTTATGGCACAATGCCTCCTTTCTGCCTACCATTTCAATGTCCATTGGTTATAAGAGTTTGGTGGGTTATTTTTTTATTGTGCAGTGTTCATCGGTTTTGTCTTATAACAGGTTCAGAAGAAGAACCCAGTCCTGTTTTGAAAACTTTGGGAAGGAGTGCTGCTAGGAAAATGCCTTCCAAAAGTCTAGAAGACATTTCATCAGAGTCATCAAGTGAGAATAAAGTTTGCCCCATTGTTCCTGCCCCCACCTAAGCTTAAAACTGCTCATGTGCTCCTCTGTGGCCTCACCGCATGCTGTCGTGCACTGAAACCCCTAAAGGGGGGCTTAACAGATGAGAATAACCTTGCCCAAGTGAGCCCAAGAGGCTTGTCCGAAAGTGGCTAGAAGTTTGCTTTTAAAATAACGCATGAGATTTTGTTACTAAAACACTAGGTTTCCTTGCATTGAAGAATCCCAGTTTGAGTGTTTATTCAAGTAAGGTGAGTTTTAAAAGACAGTGAAAGCTAGTGGTTCTGGTAGTAGTAACTAACGTGTATCTAGTACTATGTGGCAAGACTTGGCTAAGTGTTTGACTTGCACTATTTTATTCACCTGGCATAAGTAACCGTGTGAGGGACCAGTTGTTGTTTTCCCCAGTTTACAGATGAGGACAATGAAGGTCAAAGAGGTAAACTAACTTGCTTAGTATCATACAGCAGAGCAGGGGTTCAAAATCAAGAGCATTTATGACAGAGTTGGGTGTCTGATGAATTTTGCGTGCTATGGAGATGAATTAGTCCCTGGCTTTAAAGACTCTCCTTTCTCTTTCATCCCTTATTTTCATGCATTTCTTGCTGGAACTGTAAGCCTAAAGACTACCTAACACGCAACACATGAGGCACACTATTCCCCCCTGGCTGCTGCTTTAGTGGGTGAAGGATTTCTTCAGTAGTAACGTGACACATAATGTATATAGGGATTTGTGCGCCAGACAAATGGACTTAGAAATCACAACTTCTAGTGGTTTTGTTCTTATTGTTTTTCAGCTAAGATACACTCTCAGGATTGCAGATGGTCAAAGAAAGTTTATTGAATGAAAGTTAACCACTGTCAAACTCCTATGATTAAAAATTGACCGTTGTCATGTTTAGAATACTTTTTATGCATCTGCAATTGAAACTAGGAAGTCAGAATTTAAAAAGAAGAAAAAAAAACATTCCACTAAACAATTTCTAAAATTCAGTGATTCCTAGGGCTCCAAAGGCAGTGCTCACAATTCGTCATGCAGTCCTAACCCTGCCAAAGATCTTGGAATCCAAGGGTTGGAAGGGACCTTGAAGGCCACCCATTCCAAACTCCCTGCAATGCAGGAATTCCCTCTAAAGCCTCCTTAACAGGTGGCCCACCCCCACATCCGCAGGAATGCTTGCTGAGAAGGCCTTCCAATCCTTTGTGGGTCAGCCCCGACTGTTCTTCCTAATGGCGATGGCCCCGAGGGAAGAAAAAAACAACTCAGCAACAATTGTTCAATTTGGCAAACCTCTTATTTGTGAAACATGGGGCTATTTCCATGGTGCAGTTTTAGTGTACTCAGGAATGTGTAGGGTTAAAAAAAATTACCATCGGCTGATGGGTATTCCTGCATGCTCCCTTCCAAATACCGATACCCACTCTCATACTAGCCTGCCAAGATTCCACTTAGCAGCTGGTCCCCAGTCACATCTCTTCACTTGACTTCCCAAGCAAGGCTCCCAGAGGCGTACACAAATGGTGATGCGTGCACAGAAATATTTGTTAATGACCGTGGGTTTGGGAAGGTGTTAGTCATGGCTAGTGTCTTACCCTTTTTAGAAGAATAGGGAGGCTGTTGCAGCCCCATGCTTTCTCCTGCTGCCGGCTGACTGCTTGCTCTGAGCTCACCCTCTAACCCTTGGGAGTCTGTGTGCAGCAGTGTGCTGATGTAAGCTGCATTGGGGCTGAAACGGGAGCTACCGCTATGGCACTGGCTCAAGTGGCTAAAGAGAAAGTATTTGGGGGGGGAGACATCTTGGTTGCACCCCTCACCGCATCTTGACTAATTGCTTCCAACTCCGGGGGCTTTCAGGGACAGTCTCATTGTTCTTTCTCGGCAAGGGTCAGCCGTGTTAACCATTTGTTAATTTCTCCTGAACAGATCAAGCAAAAATAGATAATCTGCCAGAAGAATTAGTACGTAGTGCTGAAGATGGTAAATATCTTTATGTGTCTGCATGTATGTCTGTGTATTAGATTCTGGGGTGGTTTGGGCAGTCACTGGGACGCAGCTATTGAAAAAAATAGAAACGTCATTTGCCACTCTGTGATGAATGGTGCCTAAGTTATTATAAAACGGTTCTGACTTGGTTAATTTAATACTAACTGTTTGTATTCCTAAGGCTTCTGCTAGTGATAGCATTGCGAGGATCTCTTTAGAGACCCTGGGAAGCAAGGGTTTCTATAAATAGGCAATTGTATTTCTATGGATGTGAGCTGATTTTTGCTACTCTGACTGGCAGAACTCCCTGTGAAGGCTGCGAGACTGGAGTGGGTTCCTGGATTAAGTTATTCTTATATTTGATAATCATGTCTCAGCATATAGATCACTCTGAGCATACATGGGCTTCATGCTTTAAATTCAAAGGAAAGGCTCCCAGAACAAAAGTAGGAATTCTGCCTCTGTTCATGTAAATAACTACGAACAGACCAAGTGTAAAATGAACGGATTCTGAACATTAAGTGGCCAGAAGGTTTTGAAGATTTTCAGTTGCTCAGGTATTACTTGGTTTAGTTATAAAATGAATTAGGGTAATAATGCCCTGGTGGGGGGAAGGGAGGGATAGAAATGAGTCTGAGTTTTCAAGTTCAGCATTTATGCAAATATGTAATTTATATTTGTATGCTGGAATTTTGTTTTCTAAATTGCTTTCACTAGAATAATAACAATGTATATTCACTGAGCCTCCCCATATAAAAGCAGTAGCAGAGATCCTCAAAGGTCATTCCTTACTTTTATGTAATAGATTTGTCTTTCTCATTTTATGTTTACAACAACCTTGTTGAGGTCGTTGGGGCAGGGGTTTTTACCTTCATTTTACAGATAAGAAAGCCTCCAAGAAATTAGGTGGCTTGTCTAAGATCCTGTAGCTAGTCGGTGGGAAGGTAAGGACTAGAATCTCAGCTTCATTACTTCTGGTCCAGTGCTCTTTCCATTTTAAAAGCTGTGGTTTAGTGAATTGGAGGAAAGATGCTAAACAGCTCCTATGCTGGATGTTGGACTTTTAGTTGAAGAGGACACGCTAATGAAGATTGTTCTGGGGAATGGAGGAAAGCAAGCTGAACACCGGTCAGACTCATTCTGCAGTCTCTGCTATGAAAGTGACATTTGAGCTTTACTTTCATGTGTCTGTTAATCCTTCTGTTAAAATGGTATTTATTCTCAATGTTGCCCTTCCGAGTAGATCAAAAAGCAGATCAGGACCGCGATACAAATGAGTGCATACCAGGAAGTGAGTAGCAGGTTCTTTCTCACAAATGACTAAATGTTGCCACTGTACATGGTGTTAAATACACTGAAATAACTAACCCCATTAATAACACAGCTTTATTATTGGTGCTAAACTCTTGCAGCTTACAAAACTATTTCATTCTGGCAAGGGTTATATTAAAAACATTTTACTACTGTCTGTGCTGAAAAATTAATTGGTAGTTCTACTGAGGGAGAATTATATATTTTAAAAAGCTATTATATATACATATGTATGTAACATGTGTTACATGTATATGTTAATGCTGGATATTTTCCTTTTGCTAGTCTCTCTGCTCTTTGAGTCTGCTTAAATGAAGTTGGCACCTTCCAATATCACTTGGCTTTTATGCTGCAGTATGGTCTTGAGTATTGGACCTTTGTGGCCTTTCCACAGACTGGACAAATGGAGCAATTTACAATTTATTTGGATCTAAGAAAGAACTGTACTTTGACAGTGAGTGTGTAGTGTGGTTATGTATGCTTCTCTGCATATCTACAGAAGCCAATTTTATGATGTCCAGGGAGTAAGCTCTGAGGTTTAAAATTGGACTCAAACAGGATATATTCAACATGTAAAGCAAGTGAATATCTGAATCTTAAGAAATAATTGTACACTTGTGGTGGTTCATGCCTGTCAACTAATTAATATTCATGACCAAGCAAAGATTATGCTTCTTCACTCTTTTCTGTTCAATCTTAAGACTGCTGTGCTTAACTGTGACTATGATGTTGGGGCACATAGCACATTGAAAAGGTATTTGTGGGCAAGCAAAGCAGGGAGATATGTGTGAGTGACCTCCCACCTCAGTCAGTGTCCCAGTCGTAGGCACTGGAGGTCTGAAGGTCATGATGTGCAGGCCTGCCCTCAGGAGTCCAGGGGGTTTTCATAACAGTCTCCCAGCACTCTTTGGATGTGCTCCTCGGTCTTAATGAGAAGAGCAGCTTAAATGAAGGAGCCGTTCGAGAGGGAAACAAAGTGCTGGTGCTAGAAAGTGGTGACACCTTGTCTGAAAGCTGAAACTTCGCTCATGCAGTCCTGCCTGAGATGAAGGTGCTGAGCTTTAGCACATGACCTGACAAATTCTTAAGAACTACCTAGGAAACACGGCAATCTGGGCTTCAGTCCTTGGTGTTATTCTGTCTGGCTGCTGCAGAGGAAACAAGACTTCTGCCCTTCAGGTGTGGTGGGTAAGGGGCTTTTCCAGTTGCTTTTGAACTGGAAAACCCTTAAATCTGGGCATTTTATTTCATCTGGCTGTTTTTTTCAATATTTAGACTCAAGAGTAAAAACAAAGTATAGGTATACCTATCTACCTCTGCATAGATGTAGATATGTAGATACAGATGTAGTCGACATAGCTACATCTTCATTGGTGATCTCCTGGTTATTGGTCAAAACAAATAGACTAATCATGCAGTGAATTCTGGATAAATTCTTTCTGTTTTATGATATTTTCCAAGATGACTCTTAATCCTTGGGCTGAGATTATTTCTTTTCTCTAGTGAAGAGTGTATTCTTACCATACGAGACAAAATGAAATGCATGATCTGTATACCTAAAACTAATATAATATTGAATGTCCACTTTAATTGAAAAATTTAAATTTTTTAAATGGTTTACTGAAGAAAACAAAATACATGATCAAGACATAATAAATCCCAATAAATATAAAACTGACATGTTTGAGTACTGGGTGTATACTTTTAAAATAACAGGGAGCAGTGTCATGATAACAATTTTTGCATGCTCTCTGGGCTGCCCTGTGCCCTCCCGGGACCAGATGTCACCCTGCTTCTGTGTAAGTCGCCGAGTCCACGCACATACGCATTATTGTGTGATGGCAAGTGGTCAAAGGAAGGGGCCATCTTGTGAGATACCGGAAATGTATTTTGATACATGTGTGAGCCTAAGGCTGGCTGAGACCTACTCTGTGAATAAGCAAATACTTAATATGTGTAGCTCAGTTTTCAGTCTTCCTTCACTTAGATTCCATTTAGCTAATGCTTAGAGCTGAATCTGAGCCTTTTGAGTTATATATAGAAATATAATTTGATTTTCATCTTCCTAGTATTGCTTTCAGTGATAAAGTCAATATATTTGTATCACATTATAAAGATAACTTAGAGAATTTCTATCAGATAGCATTTATTCGTTTAACAGATACTTGTGTAGGGCCTACCATGTACCAGGCATTGCTCTGAATGCTTTGAACAGTATGAACTCGTTCACTATAAAAGCTCTGATTCACCACAAAAAAAGCTTCGACATTGTGATCCTTAGACAAAGAAGGAAAGAGCTTTTAAACTAGAGTTCCACAAATTAGGAATAAATTTCATCATTTTACTGTGACTTCCACACATATGCTTACCGTATCAGAAAGAAACCACGTGCTACATTTTCATATTAAGTCCTTAGAGTATCCTTACTTGAATCATTCAAACTTGGCCTTGGGTATTTGTATTGAAAATTCTTTGAGTTGACAGGTATCTAATATGTGAAATCTAAAAAAAACAAATGAGCAGAACAGAAACAGACTTATAGAGAACATTTGGACAGTTGCCATCGGGGAGGCTGTGGGGTGACTGGGTCGAAACAGCCAAGGGGTTATGAAGCACAAATTGGTCGGTAGGCACAGGATATCATGGGATGGAAAGTGGGAATGTAGTCAATGGTATTGTAGTAACCATGGTAGCAGAAGGGTGATATATTCATAAGTTATATAATGTCTAATCTCTGGGTTCTATGCCTGGAACTTAAGTCAACTGTAAAAAAAATTTAAAAATATTAAAAAGTAATTTTTATTTTCAAAAAGCAATTAGTTTTAAAACTGTAATGGTCTTTCATGGTAATCTCCACAGTCACTAAACAAACAAACCTTTTTTTTAGACACTCAATAACCAGGACATGTTTATGATTGAGTTATATACAGAGATCCTTGCTGTCCAATGAAATAGTTTTTCAGCCTGCAGCATGTTAAAAATATATCTCAAGGAGATGAATCAATAAATTATAGATCTTGTTCAAAGCTATGATGTGAAAAAAATAAGTTAAAAACAATTCACATTGACAGTATGTTTTAATTTTTTTAATTGATTCTTAGAGGGGATGGGGAGAAAAAAAATCAGTTTCTTGTTTCACTTATCTGTGCAATCATTGGTTGATTTTTAAATGTGCCCTGATCAAGGATTGAACCCACAGCCTTGGTGGATCAGGATGATGCTCTAACCAACTGAGCTACTTGGCCAGGACCATTGGCAGTATGTTTTATTATAATTCAAATCCAGCTCCAGTTCAATAAAAGCAAATGGTTTTTAAATTAATTTTTATTTTCTATTTGGTTCAACTCCTTGCTAGTTTTCTCTCTATAATTAGTTTATAAAAACAGCATGTTGCTTACCTTATGATCCTGTGCATGTGAACTACTGTGCCTTTAACCATTTTACAAAAACATCTCTGTTCGTAGATGAAAGAAAAATGTGTTTTGAACTTATGCCTTATGTTTATCTGACAATTGTAAAGATAATTTGAACAGAAATGCTGCTGTTTAGTTTCCACAGTGCCTTCACAGCCTGATAATCAATTTTCTCACCCCGACAAACTCAAAAGGATGAGCAAGTCTGTTCCAGCATTTCTCCAAGATGAGGCAAGTTTATCTTTTGTGCCTTCACAAAAATGGAATCAAATAAGTGGAGTTGCTATGCCAAGTGAGTTGGGGTGTTTGTATTCAGCCATGGCAGAGACCAGAGGTTAGCAGAACTGACCCTTGCCTTTCATATCAATAGAGGTAGTGTTGTTGATCTGGAAAAAGGCAAGGCATGTCTCATTGGACTCAGACAGTAACTCCTTTTGGTAGTGAAGTCAAATTGCATAGATTTGGGAATGTGGCTTTTGTTTCAAAGTGGGTACAAAATGAGAAATCTAGACAAAAATATTTTGGCAGGAACTAACTACTCCTCCATAGTTTAGAGTACAGGTGGTTTGTGAAAGCTTAGTCTAAGTAGCATGTCTAGCTAGAAAACATTTGTTAAAATAATAAAATAACAATGACATAGCAAAATCAAGGATATCTACTGAGCATAGGCACTTTATATACATTATATACATTATCTCATTTAATCCTCCAACGACCCTAGGAGATGGGCACCATCATTATCCCTAGATATTACAGATAAGGAAACAGCTAAGAGAGGTGAAGTCACCTCACTCAGCTAGAAAGAGGTTGAACCAGGACTGGAGGCCAGATCTGACTCCCACGTTGTTAACCATTATACCTACTGTCTCAAGTAAGAACATGACTATTATCTACTATTCACTGAGTATCTAGTGAGTACCAGGTATTTAATATTTGGTCTGTTATCTAACTCTCACTCACAAAATGTGGCAGTATTTTCTCTGTTTTATTAAAAAAAAATAGGGAACCTCAGAGAGGTTAAGTAACTTTCCCAAAATCCAACAGCTATGAAAAAGGACTTGTAGAACTGTAACTCATTAAGATTCCATGTTCTTATAGCCAGGTAAGTAGAAGCCTGAGCTTTGGAGTCAGGCATTCCCAGTCCTGGCTATGCTACTAATTTGCTGTGTGATCATAGCAAGTCCTTTAACTTCCCTGAGTCTGGCTTCTTAGTACCCACCTCATTAGGTTGTGAGGAGTCAGTGAGATGATGTGGGGAGAATGCATAGCACAGGGCCTGGCACATGGTGGGTACCCAATAATGTTAGTGGTTACTGTTTGCAGTGTGGATCTGATTTTTGATGATGAAATAAAAAGCTTCATCCTCAAGCATTCTCTTTGTAGGTAGAATGCAAGGAAAGCTGTAGACAACATGCAAGTTACACCTCGCCTACCCCACTCCTGGGCACCATCCTCGGGCCTTAGATGAACTGTACCTACACATAGTCAGCCCTTGAATATTTGTAAGAGCCCACATTGCAGTTACTTTGGGAGGAACCACTCATTCTTTGAAACTAATTCATTAGCTGGAGGCCAACTGTGCTTTCATACCTTTGTAAATATGGTTTGGTCTTCATATGAATGAACCATATAATGATCTGAGAGACAAATGACACCAGTTCCTGGCTTTTTATTTTTGTCCTTCCTTCAGTTTTAACCTGCTGCCTCACAATAGAGTCCAAATCATTTGAGTCTGTGCATCAGAGATGCCAAATTAAGCCGTATCATTTTACCTTTCAAAGTAGTACACGGGTTGGACTGAATGTTAGAGGACGTGGAGATGAAATCAGGCCTTGCTCCTCTGTCCACGGGCCCTTTGAGGCTTAGCATCAGTGACATGTGTTGACTGCCAGCTGTATGAAAAGTCAGTGTTCCAGGTTAACAAGACAGAGTCCCATCCTTCCAGTAACTCACCAATGAGCTGATACATGAGGCAAAACGTAGTGCATGCTATGATAGAGGGAAGGGACTGTAAGCCTGTGGGGGGAGAATGTGACAACAGAGATACTAAAAAGGGTTGGATATGTTTTTAATCCTGGAGGGTTTTTTCTCATTCATACAGGTTGTAAATTTTTTGTTGTTTTTTTAACTCCTTTCTTGATCTGCACTATAATTGGCATCTGTTATATTGATACATAAAGTGCATGGCTCTAGAATATGTCTGCATGAACTAACTACTTCATAAAGGTGTTGCCCTGATTCCCGGAACCACTGAACTGCTCTGTAAACTTTAACATCCAAAGGAGCTCATTCGGAATCATGGATTTTTTAAGACTACCATCTAAAAATCTTTAGATCTAAATATAATAAAATTTATTATGGCCACTTTCTTGATCCAGGTAAATATTCTCTGGGACATATATAAAATAAGCATCTTGTTGCTATATTTTTTCAAAAATGTATTAAAATCTAATGTAGGTAGAATGCACGATTTAATCTACTTCCCTAGAGCAACAAAAATATGAGCACAAGAGCACTACAGAAACACATGCGAGGTAGCCTAATATTGATTAACTGTATCACTTTTAATTGGAACAGATCAGGCTGCCATTTGTTTTTCCTAGTTTAATTTGATTTTTAGGGAAGTTAAGGCTATGTTAATAACACATAATGACATTTTATGTTTTTACAGTAAAACTTAGAACTTATTGCCTGGGTAAAGTTAATTTCTCATGCATATCAATAAAGTTCTCCAAGAAACATATGTATGTAACATTAAGAGAGTAACAAGAAGCTCACAGTAGTGCTGTCCTCTGTAGCACCTTGGGATCACCTTGTAGGTCCCAAAATTACAGTTATTTTGGTAACTAAGCACCACTCTTCTCTGTAGGTGAGGCCCAAGGCAGGCAGACCACCCACCTTATCCTGAATCCCATTCCCTGGCAATTAGCACTCATGTCCTTTGACCTTGGAAAATGTCATAGATCAATGTGATACCAAGATACTGTCTTTATCTAAACAGATTCTAATCTTGACTCATTCTGAATTTAAATTGTGTATATATTATATGATGTTTTATAGAGTGATGACAGAGAAACAGATACAGCATCAGAAAGCAGTTACCAGCTCAGCAGACACAAGAAGAGCCCCAGCTCTTTAACCAATCTTAGCAGCTCCTCTGGCATGACGTCCTTGTCTTCTGTATGTAAACAAAGGCTCCATGTTAATAGCCCACCGCTTCTGTGAACCTTGCACTGCCATGCTCCTGCTACCGTAAAATCGCCTCCTGTTGTCATTCTCAGATCCCAAGGGCATGAGCTTTTCCTCTCACCCACCATTAGCTTCTGGCTAGCTAAATCCTCCTGTGTGTGTGTGTGTGTGTGTGTGTTTAAGCATAAGAGTTCATATTCATTATAAATCAATATGATTTTTAAGGACTTCAAAAATAAACCTAAATTACCAACAAAATGAACCACTAAATTTTTCTGTGCAAAAAAATGGGTAACTGTTATCAAGTCTGTTTATAGCAGAAATACTTTTATATACCACTGACAGGTATAGAATCTTACGCCCCCCCCCCCGCCCCCTCAGCAAGCCTGATGAGGTAAAAGTACTGATTCGCATTAAAGAATAGGAGCGGTGATTCTGAACAGGGTTTTAAAAGCAAAGCTCCCTAAGTGTGGTTGCTCAGTTTTGATCTAGAAAGTTTTCCTTCACATAGAACTTCTTTCATAAAGTGAGGTAATTCTGTGTGCATGTAGTATATGAGTAGGAATATATATCTACATATACTAACCCAAATATTTCTCCGATATACATGCACATATCTCACAAGGTGTGCTAAACAAACAATAAAGCTGTGCATAAATCCTTACTAGCCTCTACAATAAAACAATGAATTATTTAAAAATGTTTTACTAGCTTCACATTTCTCAAACTTCTTTTTTTAGAATCTATTTAATTTCTGCTGACAACAATCTAACGTATAGTCTTGGGAAGGCTTTAAACTCCCTTCATCAATCATCCTTTTTCGACCCTTCCTGACCTCTAAAAGCATATGGTTCAGTAAGCATTTTCCTAGACTCAGCAGATGAGTAACATAGTAAAATTCCTTTTCAGTGCCTTGGAAATTTGATAGAGCAAGTGTCACTGTGATTTGTGTGCGTGGGGTTTCTCACATCCTCTTTCTTTAACATTTTCAATACTAAGCATGCCTAAAAATGGACCTCTGAAAACCCCTCACCATATAAGCAACCTGCTGTGAAATGAGCCAGCATCTAAATAACTTCGCATTTTACTTTTCTTCTATGCCTCCTAGGGCAATTTTTTTTAGAGCACTAGTCATATCATGTATATCACGTCAGGTTGTGTGTTGGTGTGTCTCTATGCCATATAAAATAAACTGCTTCTATGATGGCAAGCAATGATTACATCCATGATCCCTGTGTTGGGCCCAAGAATGAGACAGAGACAAACACTGTGTGTTTCCAATGCTTTCAGGTGAGTGGCAGTGTGATGAGCGTGTACAGTGGAGACTTTGGCAACCTGGAAGTCAAAGGAAGTATTCAGTTCGCAGTTGACTATGTGGACTCCCTGAAGGAGCTGCATATCTTTGTGGCCCAGTGTAAAGACTTAGCAGCTGCAGATGTTAAAAAACAGCGTTCAGACCCGTAAGTACACTTGGAGTCACTATTTTCTCTTAGTTAACCTTGTAGAAATTGGGAAGGCAAGAAAGTAATTGAAGGGAGGGTTTGTGTATAACTCTGTTAAAAGGACTGTTTAAAAGGAAAAGTTGGATGGAGAGGAATGCTGTTTTATTTACTTTATATATTCACACGCTGAACTTATTCAACTGCAAAAATATCAGAGATGCACACAGTCTCAAATTGGAAGGAACTTTTAAGGTCCTATTTTCTAGTTTCTTCTTTTTACAGATAAGGAAACAAGGGCCAGATAAGAGAAGCAGCCTAGTTACATAAATTCAGACACTTGGCAGCAAAATGAGGAATGAGGGCTTGAACCCTGGACCCTATTCTCTTTCCACATCACTCTCAAACTTTCTCTAAAATCAGGGACATGTGGGCATACTACACGATGTTCAGTGGTACAGGATTAGTTAAGATTTTTGAATGAGGTAGTTTGAATTGTATTCCGCAGAAGCACTTTAAGGGGGATTACCAATTCACCTTTGAAATCACAAGTTTAATTGCATTTCAGTTTATTTGCAAAAGTTGAATGGTGTTCCCCACTTATGCCTGTGCAGAAGTCTTATTCGTTGTCATTTTGCTAGCATAAACCCAATCCTTTCTTCTTTTTTTAAAAAAAAAAAAAAGAACTGAACTCAATATCGGGGTGTTTTTTTGGTTTTGTTTTTGCATTGAATATGGCTTGAACTAGGTGTATGTCAAGATTAATTTTATTTCAAAACAGTAACAAAAACTTTTAAAAATAATTCTGCAAATACCAAAGCCTTTCTTAATAGGAAAAAAAGCTAGTGAATAAAGCACTATGTTAGAGGTCTATTATCCCCTCCCCCCATTACATGAGGCCAAAGTAAGGAATTCATGATCAATTCCACTGAAATAGCTTGTTACTTACCGCTTTTCTCATTATCATGAAGGAATTGTATCTGTCCATTTTCAATGCATTTTTAAAAATAGAGGTTTAAAAATCCCTTTCATTTTCTCTGACCTTCTTATCTGTTTAATTCTCTTTTTAGATATGTGAAGACTTACCTGTTACCAGACAAGGGCAAAATGGGCAAGAAGAAAACACTTATAGTGAAGAAAACCTTGAGTCCTGTGTATAATGAGATACTGCGGGTATCTATGAACTCCCTATCTAGGAAAATCCTAAATGGTGACCTACCTGTGTGTGTAACTAGCCATGTCTTCTTGGATAGTATCTCCACAGATGAAGTCAGTTACTGAGAGATGGGAAGGAAAGGAATAAACATTTTCTGAGAAACTGTTTTGTATGAGATGATATATCATGAATATTGTAGGCATTATTTCATTCACTCCCTACATGCCCTGGCAGGCAGGTATTATTATCTGTAACTCACAGATGGGGAAAATGAACTTTAGAGAAATAAAGTATCCTTGCTCACGGATACACAACTGATGAAGCTGAGCATTGCAACCAAAATGATCCAAAAAGCATAACTGATCGTAGTATTTCTTTGCTTAAAGGGTTTTAGAATCCCGATCATCGTTAGTGTCAAGTCCAACCCTCACATGCACACCAGGCCCCTCACAACCTGAGCTCCAGCCTCGCCTTTTCAGTCACAGATTTTGATCAGGATACCCGATTCCTTCTGTTCTTTGGAAGAGCTACTTTTTCTCACATTGCTGGGACTTTCGTGTTTCCTCAGGCTGGAATATTCTTCCCCACATTCTGGGGAAGAATATCCTTAACCACCTCCTGGAGCCTTAAACACCTCTTCCTATGAGCAGCTGGCCTTAACCCCACAGTCCCCCTGCTGTCAGCTGCCTCAGTTTTCCTGTTTTATAACAGGCTATATTAACTTCCAGCACTCTACTGGGTTGTCTGCTTTCTGGTTAAATTGTAAGTTCCCTGAGGGCAGGGACCAATTCTGTGCTGTTTTAAAACTTCGTGCCCTTGCGTAAATGATTTAATCAGTCTGTACTTCACACCTGCAAAAGGGAGATAATGATAATACCTACCTTTTAACATTCTCAGTAGTTGTGAATATATGAAGAGATGAGTATACATTAAACACTAAATAAATGTTGACTTTTGGTACAGTGTCTGGGATAGGTACTCAAGAAATGTTTGTTGGGAGGATAGATGGATGGACAGATGAATGAAAGTACCTGACTCAAATACCCATATTCTTTTTCCCCCAAAACTGCACCATGCTATCTTAGTCTTGAGTAACAGATCATTTAAAACTACAAATAGAAGTATTATTCATTCCCTCTTTCTGAAAACTCTGTCCAAGTATTTGGTTATCATCTGAGAAAAGAAGTCACATTAAATTAATTCTCAGTCACCCAGGGGTGAATTTTTTGTGGATTTTCTGTAGCAAGTTTTTAATTACAGTTTGACTATGATATACCTCAGTACCTTGGCTAGTTCTAGGTCAGCTACTTCAGCCCTACACTCACAAAAAGCCAAATAATTTAAATAGTCAACTCAGAGAAAAACAAGTCTGGTACACCTAAAATGGACATTCAAGGAGTATTACTTCATAAAGCCAAATAGAGATTATTTTTAGATTAGAAGTACTATTATCCCTTCCATGATTACATATAATCAAGGAGTGACTGTATTTTAGACAAAAAAAAAACTTTTAGGATGCCAAATATTTTCCACTTGACCATTTGAAGCAAGAAAAAACAAGTCCATCTTTGCTGGAGAAATTCCTTGTCCCTGTAGGATATCAAGTGGGAGATGTTGGGAGCATAGGGGGTAAGTCTACATGGGAACTCTATACTTTGCACTCGGTTTTGCTGTGCATCTGAAACTGCTCTAAAAAATACAGTATATTGAAAAATATACCTTTTCCTTAGATAGGAAACAGACCATTGGATTAAACTTCATTTGTATTTTTAGACTAAATTTGATTTATGTTCTACCTAGTTAGAACTAAAAACATCCAGTAAAAATTGAATAATTGGCTTTTGTTTTTAGAGAGCTATTACCAGCTATGATATTTGAGCCATAGTTTGCTTTTTCCAAAGGGGCAAAGAAAATCAGCTTTTGTGAAAGATGGGTTTTAGCTCTTTGAAACAAGACACTTAGAATAAGATGACTTTGCAATATTCTTGAGACTGGGAGTCTAACAGATGAGAAGATCTGATTTGCACAGATGACTTTTCATCTCTATGTCATAACTTTGGCATAAAGTAATCTTATTCACTACTTTAATTTCCTTCTTTGAACTGCAGTATAAAATTGAAAAGCAAACCTTAAAGACACAGAAGCTGAACCTGTCTGTATGGCATCGGGATACATTTAAACGCAATAGCTTTCTAGGGGAAGTGGAACTTGATTTGGAAACTTGGGACTGGGACAACAAGCAGAATAAACAATTGAAGTGGTATCCTCTGAAGCGGAAGGTAAGTTCAAGAGTTTTTTGGTTGGTTGGTTGGTTGGTTGGTTGGTTAGTTGGTTGGAGGCCTGGTGTGTAGGAGGAAGCTACTATGAAAGTGCATTTTCATTCAGAATACTTATCCATAGTTTGGGATCATTCTCTCCTTTTACTGTCTTGTATGTCTCTTATTCTCTTTTCTGTATTTTCTCTTTTCCCCTCTGTATGCTTTAGTTTGGCTGTTTTTTGCTAACCTACCTTTCAGTTCAACAATTTTCTTATCTTCTATGTCTAATCCACTGTGATACCCATCTGTAAGTTCTCAATTATTATATTTTTCAGATTTATATTTTCATTTGATTCTTTTTATAAACTCCATTTCTCTGCTAAAATTCTCCCTCTTGACAATATCTTTATATGTTAATCCAAGTTATTTGAAGTATGTATCTGAAAACTCCAGTATCTTAAACTTTTATGAGTCTTATCTAAATATTTTATTTTTATTTTATTTGTTAATTAAATAAGTAGACATATTCATTTTATTTCTTTTATTTGTTTATTAAATGAATGGACATACTAGGTCCTTTGTCCTAGTATGTCTATTCATTTGTTATTGCATGCTGGACATTGCATATGAAAAATTCCAGGGATAATTTGAAAGAATTTACTTTTGTTTTTGACACACAGAGTAGGGACAGACCACCTCAATCTAGTCTGGGAGTGAACTGACTAGAAGCTGGGGTTCAGTTTTCATGTGGTCCATCTAGTTCTTGTTTGTCCATATTCTGAGGCCGTGGCCCTTCAGGGGCTCCAAATGAAAAGACCAGGGAAGGAATCAAACTTTAGCATGATTCCAACTCACCCGAAGGACTTATTAAAACATAGATTTCTGGGCCCTATTCCCAAGGTTTCTGATTTAATGAGATCTGGTCCCAAGAATAAGCATTTCCAACAAGTTCCCAGGCACTGATGATGCTGGCCTGTCGATCATACTTTGAGAACCACTGGTCTAGAATATTAGCTAAGGCCATTCCTCCTTAGCTGGCTGTGGACTTCAGTTTTTGTCTCCCCAGCCCTACGAGATCTCCAAAAGCCCTGCTCAGCTTCTTAGTCTCTTTCTGCTAGGTTTTTTTATTCTCTCAGCTTGGCATTACTTAACAATCAGGTAATGCCTCAAAGTGGGAAATAGAGAAAAATGTCAGGCTCCAACATCTTGTCTGTTTGAGTTCTGTCTGTCTTTGTAATCCCTTTTTACCTTCAAGTAGACTTTGTAACTGATTTTTGTTCTTGGTGTGAGGGTTGACATGATCCCAGCTAGTCCATCATAGCTGCAATTGATACATATAAACAATTAATATAAGCCATTATTTAGTATCTACATAATAAAACTGTTCCTTTAAGAAAGGCTTCCTAAATATCACATTAAAATCACCTGTAACACTTATTTCTAGCCCTACCCAAGACTTGCTAGATCCGACTAAACTCCTCAGAAGTTGCCAAAAGTATTCATTTTGAACTAACTCACCTTATGTTTCTGATGCTTGGCCAAGTTTTGGAAATAAGGCTCTAATGGACCAGATTTTGAAAGTAAAACCATCTCTCATATACTTGAAAATAATAGATATACATTTTAAAATTATTGCCCAGTCTTTGTTATTCTTGTAGATAGCTACTCATTTGGTCTGAAATAACCAGGTTAATGCAGCTTAGACAATGTGGTATTTGGCTTTCCCCGTACCTCTATGTTCCCATGCTCTTCCCACTCTTTCAAAGAAAGATAATATAAATACATTGTTTTATGAGCTGGATGAATGATTATTAAAACATGTTTTTATGAAAAACAAGGCACCCCACAACACATTTCCCATCTCCAAGAAAGCCATTCTCATTTCTCCACTATCTCTGAGACTAAAAGGCCTTCAAGTGTGTTCTGGGTACCCTGAAAGGTTTTTCAAGATACACAGTATAGCTCTCCCAGATATAAAAGTAACAGTCTAGGTCTGATGGGGAGGGAAGTTTTAATCCAGGGCACTGAGGAGTGATCCACTGTCCCAGAAATGAGGCAGATAAAATCCCGTAACAGAGTACCAACAACCAGAGTAAACGGTTTGTCTCACACCTGCTGACATTCCTTCATTTTTCCAGACAGCACCAGTTGCCCTTGAAGCAGAAAACAGAGGTGAAATGAAGTTAGCTCTCCAATATGTTCCTGAGCCAATTCCTGGTATGTAATGATTTTCTGTCCAGACTTATGCCCTGCCCTTTCTTTATCCCCCCACTCTCCAAGGTTCTCTTTGGGTTCTGTGATATTTTTCAAAGGTGAAGCCCTAAACAAACTCATTAACCTAGTAATTGTATAGACCAAATGAGTCAATTCACAGTTGTAAACTAGAAAATTCCTGTTTTTTTTATTGTGATAAAAACTCATAAATTTTACCACCTTAGCCAGTTTTAAGTGTACCGTTAATGTTGAGTATACTCACATTGTTGCGAAACAGGTCTCCAGAACATACCCATTGTCAACTGATGGACAGTGACACCGGTTCAACACTCACAGGATTCCCCAATTCAGGGTGCAGTGAAGGAGAAAACTGTACTCAGTACAAAACAGAGTCAACTGTGACACAGCACAGCGGTAGAAAAACTCTGGGGCCAGGCCCCTCTCCAGCTAGACAGTTCTGCTCTGCTCCTCAGTGATCTGCTATTTTCTGCACCCCTTGTCTCCAGCTGATGATGTGACTGGCTTTGCTCTGCTCAGGCAGCACATCTCCAGCGTTTCAGCTCAGCCAGAGAGACATAGTCTCTCTTCTTGGGTGGAAAGGGAAAATGTGCTCCCTGAGCCAGAGGGGAGCTGGCTTATATGAACAGAAGTCCTCACCCCTGGTCCCTAATTGGTCTGTCCTGATGCAAATGAGGACTCCAAATCTTCACAGTTTGATTGGTCCAAAAGGCACCATGCTGATGGGTCAGAATAAAGTTGCTCTGATTGGCTTGAGTTGCACAGCTCCAACTGGATGGTGAAAGCCTCAATACTATTGGTTGAAATGGGATTCCAGGAAACCTTTACAAGGGCTGGCTCAGATGGCAGAAACACAGTGCAGGCAGGCAGTTTGTGTGAGAGGCCCCTACGCAGAAATGGCTGCTAGACTCTGCTTATTTATTTGATCCCAGTTAGCCACCAGGAGCCCTTCTTAGTAGGTGTATTTTTTTCTTCTCAGGGTTCATGCCACTGAATTACAACTCCCCTCACCCCACTTTCCCCCAGCTCCTGGTAAAGACCATTCTACTTTCTGTTTCTATAATCAAATTTTTTATTTTTGCCAGTCCAGTTTCCAGTCCTTATTTTAACTTTCATCTCACTCTCCCAAAAGTTTGTGTCTGCCCATTGTGAATGGCCTTTCCTGTATATAGAATTTGGACCTGCTGACAGTGCTGTGATAATAATGGAACCTGAATGTTGTTTTTCACGGGTGGGAATTGGAAGAATTCATATGAAACTCTAAGAAATTAAAAGTCAGTGGTCTTTCACTCTTAAGGTCTCATCAGGAGAGAAAGCTTTTTCCTGCTGATTACTAGTTGTAATCTTTCCTGAAGATTACTAATTCTTGATGTTAGGGCCTCAGGTCTGCAGCCCCATTAAGGAGCAAGAGACAGGCAGAAAATGAATGCCTGCCCCCCTCGAATTTCCCAAGCAAGTTCCCCGAGTTATTCTTCCTAAGAATCTGTATGAATGTTATGGCCCAAATCAGGGATTGCACATGCAAATGCTTTCAGCAACCATGCAGTGAAGCTGTGGGATGAAAGACATAATGGATGCTGGGGACAATGACAGAACTAGAGAAAGACATTTTAATTCAGTTTTTAAAAAAAGTTAGAGGGCAAGCAAACATATCTTTAGGCCAAACTGGCTGCCAAACCACTATCTTGTTACTTCTAGATCTTTCTAAAAGGCAGATTCTTTTGTATATAATTTGTATCCTATCATTTATGGTAAACATGCAGAGAAATTCTGCTAGTCTCTTTTCCCATCCCCTCACTGGCATTTCTTGGCAGTGGGCGCCAGGCGACTGTGTGCTGGGATGAACCTCACCCTGTCTGAGTTTTCAGTCATGTAGTTTCTCTTCTCTGTATTGTCGTGATCTTCTCCTCGGCCTTTCCAAGTCTTAGATGACGCCCTAGCTCCCCAGGTAGCTTTTCCTGACTATATTCCCCCTCACTGATCACATTATCTCCTAGAACAGTACAGTAATAACTTGGCATTTCATTCAGTTTTCCATTTTTATAGTTGTTATTGAATTACTCTCTCTAGATTAATGGTGAACATTTCCCAAGGGCATAGATTTCTTATACATCTGTATGGTTGACTGATTGGGTTAACTCATCCAGAAAAATATGGCAGTATTTCTCTGTCCAGGTGTACCCAGTCTAGACAAAAATGTTGGACCAAAACAACTTCCCAGTAATCCCATATCCATAATATTCACTATTACTTGTGTGTAATAAGTCTTATATAATGTGTAGCTTTTTACACTCTACTTTTAACAAGAAGAATAACTACACTTTAGCCAGTACCTGTTTTGGTTATTTTACAGTAACATGTTTAAAATACCTCCTGTCAGCCCCAATGGATATTGGTATCGGTGTTTGAAAGGTATATGCATTTCACGGAGATGTTTCAAATATAACTATAAATGGATGACTCACATACCTGATGTCTATAGTTGATCCTGTTGAGCCAAGCAAAATCCAAGAGGAATGATGTCATACTCTGTACTTGGAATCACATAAATTATTTTCATAGAGCTGCCTGAGCTCAGTACAGCCAGACTATAAAAGATATAGTTAAGGATGTACAGATCTAACCAATTAGGATCATGTATTCAAGCACTAGCTATATCTCTGGGCTAGGCCATTTTTGGATTGGCATCTTTAGATGCAGTGTTGCCAAGAGAGGACTGGTAGTAAAATTTTATTTTCTCCCTTTTTTCTATTATAGGTAAAAAGCTTCCTACAACTGGAGAAGTGCACATCTGGGTGAAGGAATGCCTTGACCTGCCAATGCTAAGGGGCAGCCATCTAAACTCTTTTGTTAAATGGTAATGGCATGGATCATTCTGCCTCCCTCAGTTCTTTCTGCAGCAGCCTGGCCTTTCCTGGTTGATTTTAGTTCTCTGTATCTGTGATGCTGAAACTCATCATCCACAGTTTAAATGAAATCACTTGAGACAGTGACTACATGAGCTAGGGGGATCTGTGACACAACCCCCTTAAGGCTTCATATAGTTTTAAAATCATAAAGATGAGAGGGCACATATAAAAATGAAACCAGAGACCACACACACACATATGCAATGCTTCCTAGGTGGGAACATTCCTGGTGGGAACAAGATTCAGTACTGAAGAATTTATGAATTTCTAACAGTGGGCTGTCTTACCCCTTGGCTCCTTAGTGAAGGACCTGTTTTGTGGCCCATTTGCAAAAGCCCTTTGGCATCAGCCTGAAAATATCTGGAAAATTATTTGCTAAAAGACCTCAGCTAATAGCTCATAAGAGCTTAAGACAATTTTGGTTCTTAAGTAGCAAAATTTTTTTTCTCTGTGAAACATGTAAATGCCTGGTATCTGGTAAATAGTAATTAGACATTAGCGTGCCATCCTAGCTCCCTCTGACTAATTTTATCTGTACAGATTCTACCAGAAATCCAACCGCAGCTTTTTAATTTTATGTGACATTATTTATGGTTTTCTCTATACATGTTCTTTTTAAAAAATTAAATTTATTGGGGTAACATTGGTTAATAACATTGTATAAGTTTCAAGTGTGCAATTCTATAATGCATCATCTGTATATTGCATTGTGTGTACTTCTAGTACCATCTTTTTGACTCTCTTTACCTTCCTCATCCTCTTTCCACTCCTCTTCACCTTTGGTAACTACTATACTATTGTCTGTGTCTATGAGTTTGTTTTTTTTTTGTTGTATGTTGCTTTATATCCCACATATAGGGATATCCCACATATGGGTTTGGATGTCTGTTTTATATCCCACATATGGGTGAAATTGTATGGTTCTTGTCCTTTTCCACCTGACTTATTTCACTTAGCATGATACACACTCAAGATCCATCCATGTTGTTGCAAGTAGCAGTATTTCATCATTTTCTATGGCTGAGTAGTATTTCACTGTATAAATGTGCTACATTTTCTTCATTCATCCATTGAAGGACCCTTGGGTTGTTTTCATGTCTTGGCCATTGTGAATAATGAACATAGCTGGCTGCAATAGACCTAGGGGTATGACACCACATATAAAAATTAACTTAAAATGGATTAAAGATTTGAATATAAGACCTGAAACAATAAAATACATAGAAAGAGCATTGGTACTAAACTTATGGGCCTTGGTCTCAGAGAGGTTTTATATACTTGACCCCAAAGGCAAGGGAAGTAAAACCAAAAACAAAGGAATGTCTACATCAAACTGAAAAGCTTCTACACAGCAAATAAACCATCAATAAAACAAAAAGGCCATGCATGCTTCACAGATACTAGCTGGTAAAGTTCCTCAGCTCAGGCCAGTCTCCTATTCTGAGACTAGTCTCAGACCTTCTTGCCTTTACAAGAGCCATGATAGGTTAAAGTTAATTCAGTGATTACCACAAATTAAATGTAAATGGTTGCAAATATATAATTTATCCCCAAAATCAAATCTAACAAATTGGAGAGGTTTATATTCTTTGTCAATTCTGTGCAAGACTAATTCCTTAGGCTATCACAGATAATTCAGCAATAGACTGTACTTCCAAATTTTAAAGGCATCCTCAAACAATTGCTACATAGTAAGTAATTACTAAATGCAGAATTGAACTAAGTTATTTGCTTAATGTGTAATTTTAATATTAATCTTATGAAGTAGGCATTACCATTCTGATCTTATAGATGAGGAAGCAAGTATCTGAGAGGTTAAGTAACTTTCCCTATAACACACAGCCACTAAGTGGCAGAGTCAGGATTCAAAGCAAGTCTAGTCCACTCTGATGCACAGTCTTTCCAATGGAATGCCCCCCATCCCATCAGCACGATTTCTCTACTCTATCCTCAGTAGCTGTGTTGAAGTGCATCGGAAGCATAAATGCTCACTATCTTATTCAAATGCTCTCACAATAATGTTTCCATTTGTAGTACCATCCTTCCAGATACAAGTAGGAAAAGTCGCCAGAAGACAAGAGCCGTAGGGAAAACCACCAACCCTGTCTTCAACCACACCATGGTGTATGACGGGTTCAGGCCTGAAGATCTCACGGAGGCCTGTGTGGAGCTTACTGTCTGGGACCATTACAAATTAACCAACCAGTTTTTGGGAGGTCTTCGGATTGGCTTTGGGACAGGTAATATTTGTTACATTTTTAATTTTCTCTGAGACAAATGCTTCTGGAGACACTAGAGATTTTTGCATTGCTTCTTCCCAGTGAGAGCAGATATTTTATTTCTGTTAAGGGTAATGAAGTAAATGAACCAGTGAAGGAATGTCAGGCTGTGTGTGCTAAGGGCTCAGGAAATAGAGATTACCAGGATGCTGAGTCTCTCCACATAGCATTTACCTTATTGGGGGGCGGGGGGGGGCAGAAAAGTCTTCGTCACCACTCTTCCCTGAAAAAAGAATGTATGACTCTTCATAGCTAAAAGTGTGCTGTGAATAATAATAGTAGCTAACATTTATGGAGCGCTAGTCACTGTTCTGAGTGCTTTATTTGCATTATTTCACTTAACCCTCACAATTCTATGAGGAGTTACTAATGTTATTTCCAGAATAATTGAGGTTTTAAAAAATTAGCAGAGCTAATAAGTGCCAGGGCCACGATTCAAAATTGAGTCTGTTCAACACTAAAGCTGTAACCACACTCCCTCAGGGTTCATCTAGTGTCACCTCCAACCCAGTGGGGGAATCCTTCCTACCACTCCCCTATGCCTGTGACAGATTGTCATCTAGCTCTTGAGTACTCTTCTCAGATGGTTAAACATTTCTTCCTTCTATTGGGTCCCAGATCTGCCCTCCTGGGGATGTTAAAACTCTTCCTAGCTGACTTCCATCGGTGGTTATAATTAAAGAGTGATTCCTCCCCATCCCCCAACAAACTATTCCTTTCTTAATGCAATGCTTCCTTGTTGTTTTGATTTTTTTTGTTTGTTTTTGTTTATTTTTTCAGGTAAAAGCTATGGTACTGAAGTGGATTGGATGGACTCTACTTCAGAGGAAGTTGCTCTCTGGGAAAAGATGGTGAATTCCCCCAACACTTGGATTGAAGCAACCCTGCCTCTCAGAATGCTGTTGATTGCTAAGATTTCCAAGTGAACTCAAAGTCCATTGGCTCCACCACTGAACACTACTAACCAGGTGGAATGTGGTCCTGAAAATCAGACTCTGTGAGCAGAGATCTTCACCTCCTATCTGTTGGCACTAATGAATGCCACACAGCATATTAAAGTCAACCTGCAGGTCCTCTTTGGTTACAAGGCCCAAGAGATTTAAACAATAACAAAATATGTAATGTATTTGTGACTCCAGTGTTAAAGAAGACATTTCAGAAAGCTAGGAAAATCCAACTGTTGCTTCACAGAAAAAGCTGCCAAAAAATTAAATGTGGGGTGTTGTTAATGGGCAAAGTTTCCAAGTTTGCCATCATGTGCTTCCACCCAGTCTTGTGCTCCATTTAGGAAAGCCTGCCTCTTGACCACTGAGATTCCTTGTAAGAAATGTGTAGGTTGTGGGAAAAAGTGACAAAAGGATGCTAATATGGGGGAGAGGAGGCAGAAAATCAGTGATGATAAAGAATTTTACCATAAGAAATCCATTTACTCTGTAATCTCTATTAAAACATGGAATTCCATGTTAAGGGAATGAGACTGAATTTTACTGCATGTATTTTGGGTCGAGAAACTGCTTTCCCTTTTCCCAGTGTTAAGTCTTGAATGTGCTTTGGTGCCACCCACTGGCCATAGGTGAAATTTATTTTTTGGCTTAATTTTCTCCTGGGGTAGGTCTTAAGCCTATACTTTTTAACAGAGTATGTAAAAAGCAAAACACCAAAAAAAAAGTTGCATATATAGATTGTTTTTCTTATAACTCTACTATATGAAAGCAGCATGAGAGTGGTCACTGACATGCTTTGCAACAAAGTTTTAATTAGAATGTAAATTGTTAAATTATATTGTACTTCCTATGTATGTATAATTTTCATAAAATATTTTGTAAAAACCCTTAGAATAAATTATTATGATTCAAATGTATTTTCAAATTAATTTAACTTTTTATTTTAAATGAAATACTTTATATTATGAATCCTAAATGCTAAATTCCCTAGCAAGGCTAAAGAAATTCTGCTAGGCTAATATTTCTCCAGTCTTTACTGCAGCTCTGGACATTATTTCCTCCAAGTGGGCAGTCTTAGCTATTTTATTCAGAGTTTTTACTTTTAAAAAGCAGTTGAAAAGCTTTGAAAATAAACTAACACTTATTCTTGACAAGTTTTCCACAGAGACATTTTTGGACCATATTAACATACAGGGCACCATTCTCCCTTGGGAGTCAACTAGGTTGCCTTTCTCAAAATGAGAACTGATTCCCTGTGGGCTAGAAGAAGCCTGGATGGTGGGGGAGTGTAAGATCTTATAACAGGCAATTAACAAATGTCATTGAAAACAACTAGCGTGCTTGCCTCCTCCCCCAAACAGATATTAGAACCTTCTACACACTTACCAATAAGAGCAACTAACCTGGACCAACTCCTTTCCCATTGTCTGGCAAGGTCTTTTAGGGAGGTGTGTAGTCTATCTTTATTTCCTCCTCCTGTGCTGACCTTGGGGAGGGGCAAGGTGAGCTGAGTGGAGGCACACCTCCAAGGTTACCCGGAACATTAGCAGAATTGCAAATCCTGTTCCAGCTCCTGCCACTTCAGAGCTGCACAAGCTACTTTCTCAGCCTTTCTTTCAGATACCAGCCACCTCCCAGCAGCCAGCCAGCTCAGAAGCACTAATGAGATTGGTTCTAGTATATCCCCATCTCGAACTAGGACTCCCTGCTTCCTTGAATAACTAGAGTAATAGAAACACCCTCCTTGTGCCTGCCACAGCACTTTCTGGCTGCCTCCAGACATCAAGGAGATTTCATGTCTCTTTTCTTTTTCTGAAAAAGAAAATATAAAGCACAACCTTAAATCTCACCTGGCTACAAAAGGAAGGCTAAATGGGACTTTCACGCATTACAAAGTGTGGGCAACCTGAATTCTTTAGTGGACTCACATTGACAGACTTGAGCCAGTGAGACTTGTAAGCAAAGTTCCCACTAAAACTTTAATAAATATTTTTTAAAAACTGGAGGTATCTCCTTGAACTGCATGTCTTAGGGCTTTTTCCCTCCATCATTTTTATTTTTTAAATTCAAAAAACCCTATTAGAAATCAGCCCAAAAGGGAGAATTTATTAGAAATACATCATTAGCCCTCAGAATTAAAAATGTATTGCGGGAACCTAGGTTATTTTGGGGACATACAGGCTGGGACCAGAAACTTAGATACTATCTCTGAGGGTGCGAGAGAGCCTTACAATCTCTTGGCTGAAAGTACTTCTCTTTTCTAGGTTCAGTTTGAGAGATATCTGGGAGACACTGGCCAGGCTTGGGGTCATGTCCCCACCTATTGAACCACTCACGTGGCCACGTAGAGCAAGATCTTATGATTGACCCCGCCTGGAATTGAGTCCACCTTGTGGCCAGGGAGAAGTGATCCATTATCAGAAGAATGGCGTGCTGTATAGACATGGGTCCTGCAGGAATCAAGAGGCTGTAATTTATGTCTCCCTCAAGTGAAAACACTTCCAAATTCTGTTATTGAAAAAAATGAAGTAATATTTCATATTCACTGCTGACTCCAGAGAGGCCTAAATTTCCCATTCACCATGATTGCTGGAGCTTCTAAGTAGGCGAGGAGGATCCTAGGAACCCCATGACCTGTTCACATGGCCTAGGAATCCACCAAAAGTATGATTACTGTCAGCCTCAGCTAAATTCTTCCATAGATACGTAGCTGTGTGTACCAAGGAACTTGCTTGGACTCCCTTACACATCTGCCATCCAAATTCACCACGCAAGTAAAAACCCTGAACATCTGCCTTCATCCGTATTCTCACTCGCATTCTGCTTTGGGACTGCTCTCCCATCTCTTCTGTCTCCACTCCCTCCCAGGCTTATTCATTAATTTCACTAGTTTGTTTCACAAAATAAATGCCCCCACATGTTTGATCCAATCACAGTCTGTTCCTTCTACTTTTTTGGAACTTGTTCCAAAAGACCTGATTCTCCTTCAGCTTCACAAGAAGACTCACTCTACCACATTGAGTAGCTCAGTCAGGATGCGGGATCAGACTTCAGATCATCGCTTGCTAACCTTTATTCTTTGAGAGGAGTGATGTGTCTGATTTATTCACAATTATGTTAGCAATTATCACCGAATTGCTGTTTTTCTATTATTTGTCTCATCATTAGGCTGTAATCATCTTAAGAGCTGGACTGTAACCTTGGACAGAATAGTTTCTTGGTATGTGAATTGAATGAATGAATGAATGAGCAAATGAATGAAGTATGAACTAAAAATCATTGGCTTTGGTATCAAAAAGATCTGGGTTTGCACAATGGAATACTACTCAGCCATAAAAAAGGAGAAAATTTTACCCTTTGCAACAGTATGGATGGACCTGGAGAACATTATGCTAAGTGAAATAAACCAGGCAGAGAAAGACAAATACCATATGATTTCATTCATATGTGTAATCTGATGAGCAGACTGAAGTAAGAAGGAAAATGAGGACAGACTCATAGATGGAGAATAGGATGACAGCTAGTTGGGGCAAGGTGGGGGAGGTTAAACGGTGGAAGCATTGAGCAAAAAGGAAAAAGGACTCATGGACATGGACAACAGTGTGCTGATTGCTGGGGAGAGGCAGGTATAAGGGGACTAAAAGGTAATGTAAAAAAATGCAATGAAGATTAAATTAAGGAAAGAAAGAGAAAAGATCTGGGTTTGAATCTGGCTCTATCACCTGCTCTCTGGATAAGCTGGAGCAACTTGCTTAACCTTTCTGTACCATAGTTTCTTTGTTCCCTGTAAACTCTAAAATGTGAATAATGGTGCATATCTTTCAAAAAGATTGTTAGATATAGTTAAGTGAGAGAAGATGTACAAATGCCTAGTACTGTGTAGGATGTATAGAAGAACTCTAATAGTAGTTTTTGAAAAAAAGAAACATTGCTGGTATGGCTCTGTGGTTGGAATGTCTGTTGTCCTGTGCACTGAAAGGCTGCAGGTTCCATTCCCAGCCAGGGCACGTGCCTAGGCAGTGGATAAAAATAAAATTAAATTAAAAAAGAGATAGACATTAAAAGACCTAAAGGCAAATGGAGGGGCCTCACTGGTCACCACTAAGGAGAACACTGACCAAGGTTCATTATTCCTTGGACCTCTGAGAAGGGAATATACTGGTTACTTTGGAGATCAAAAGTAGCTGGGGGAAAAAAAATGGTAGAACAAAGGAAACAACCCAGTAGAGAGGAACTTCTGGTAGAGAGGAACCAAAAGCCATCATTACTGAATTATAGGTTCTTTGAAGAGCTATGGTATCTAATGTATTAATGTATACTTTGCATCTATCCCCACTCTGTACATTGCAAATGTTTGTTGAATAAATCAATGAGTAAATACTGGTTAGGATCTTGTGGGATTCTTAGCCTTGACAAGTAATCTATGGACTTAATGTTATTTAAAATAATTTTAACAGAAGAAATATAAAATAATTTAAATGTGGAAACTCTATTTAATCAACAAATAACATTGAACATCCACTATAGGCAAGAGACTTAGGCAGAAGGAGGAGGGAAAACATCCACAGCTCATCCTCAAGAAACAACTGCTGTTAAAATTTTGAATATTTTCCCAGTCTTCTTCTTTTTATTTTTCACATATTCTGTGAGTTCACTAAACTATATCAGATCATATAAGGTAATTGGCAAATAAAATTTTCAATTATGTATGACCCTTGTATTTTAACGAAGAGGACTATTCTAATTTTCTAATCGCTTGCCTCAACTTTACAAGTTCCATTTCAGTCTATAAAGTTGAAATTCAAGGAAAGGTGAAGAAGAGAAAGGGAAAAGTTACAAATGTTTATTTTTTAAAAGATTTTATTTACTTACCATATACCATAGACAGAGGGGATGGGAGGAAGAAAGAGAGGGAGAGAAACATCAATGTGTGGGTGCCTCTCACATGGTTGCCACTGGGGACCTGGCCCGCAACCCAGGCATGTGCAAGGGTCACAGGGAATCATACTAGTGACCCTTTGGTTCACAGGCAGGTGCTCAGCCCACTGAGCCACACCAGCCAGGGCACAAATATGTTTAATTCGTACTTTTTTAAAGTCTTCAGAACCCACTTTCATACAACCTCCATATTTTATAATGTAAGTAGTTACAAAAATTTCAGTTCAGGAAATATCCTCAGTCCTCAACCTTGCGTTTCCTCTCGAGACAAGAGATTCGAGGCTTGGGACATGACAGCCTGATCTTTGAGACCAAAGGGGAATCTGAAACTCTTCTCTCAGATCTGTTTTGCTCTCAGTGAAATCTGAACTGTAAAAAATCCATCCAACATCTATACTAACACCCAGGCCTTTTCCTTATCATTTTGACTTGAGAGATAAAATCTGACACCAGAGACAGTGGTCAGATCATAGGAATTGTCAACATTCTATGTTCAGCTTTCATAGCATTAAGATCATTCAGTTTTTTCTTAACATAAGCATTTCCATGCCATTAAATTGCCTATAAACAAGATAATGTTTAATGGTTGGATAATATTGTTACATGAAAATATCATAATTTTGTTAATATTTTCTCTTTGGAGACATTTAGGTTTTCAACTTTAGTTGTTATAAAGCACACTACAATGAAAAGCTTTGTGTAAAAATTTTTCTTTCAGATAATATTCTGAGCAAAGATCTCTCCAGAAGGGCAATCATTAGACCAAAAAAACACAAAAATGTTCTAAGTTCTCAGTACATGCTGTCATCTGACTTCCACCAAGAGTATAAGACAATACCTATCTCACTACATGTTTGCCAGTCCTGAGGAGTCTGAAAATAGAAGGGAAACTTAATAATTTGGTAGATTAAATACTAATTTTAACTTGTATTTATTGGGTCATTGATGGGGTTCAATTCTTTACCATTTCTGTCCCCGT